GCAAAAAATTTAAGGGTATAAAAGTAATTTACGAGTAAGATTTTTTCTTCTCTCCCAATTTAACTTCCAATACCAAACAAGTGAAGGTAAGCTCATTTTTTTTTTATCTTCTCATACCAAACAACATAAAAAAAATCAATTTTCTTTTTATCATTACTATTTTTCATCACTTCTATATTTTTTTTATCATATTTTCTTTTTTTCCTACCATATAGAGCAGAAATTGAAATAAAATATCATCAAAAGATCTAGAAGAAAGAGCCCCGCCAAAAAAAAAAAAGAGAGAGAGAGAGAAGAAACAGCCAGCCTGGGCTTTTGGGTCTGAATATTAAAAATGGAGGACATAATCTTCTGTATATTTCCAAACGTATAATTTAAATATTGCAGTTTTGATATAGTCCATAATCACTGCGCGTGACCTTCCAGCTTCCTTCAATTTGACTAATCAGTAATTATCGTGTTATGAAAATAAATAAATAAAATAAAAAATTTATCCTTAAAAGTGTTGGATTTTTATCTTTTTATTCTTAATATATATTTTTTTATTATTGTAATTATTTAATTAAAAAAGTTATGAATTAAAAATAAAAAATAAAAATCATAACTCATATTTTTTTTAAAAGGATATTTGTAATGAATAATATTAAACAAGCCCACGAGTTTGACAAATGCATACAACTCTTTTTTCTCAAAGGTGTATTTTGTAAGTTGAAATCGTTACTCTTTTTCACAACTTTTACCTGTAGGAAAATTAACTCCGTTCACTTTAAAAAAATAGTAATAAATAACATCGTTTTTCTACTGAAATGAAATGTGGGTCAATGGAGGGGCAATATGCTGGAATGACTTTCCAACAAAGTGAAATTAGTAAAATGGCATTCTTTTATTTTTCATAAAGAAAGACATTTACTCATTCTTTGTAAAATGAGGTCATTTTGCAAATAAAAATTTTTAAAAAGTTATTTTACTTATAAAACTTTTCAAAGAGTTATTTTTACAAAGGTCTCGTCAATGGAGTGAAAAAGAATTAATTATCAATTTTGGGTTAATATTTACATATTTCTTTACATCTATTAAAAGAGTTAAAGTCTTTCTCTTTTTTTTTACACATGTCACTATTAAGGGTACTTATGGAATCTGTGAATCCGATTGATCAGTGAAATCTAATCAAATCTAATCCAATTCGAAGTTTTGAATTGGATTGAAAATAATTTTAGATCGGATACGGATTAAGATTTTCCTAATTTAAAAGTTTTGGATCGGATTGCAGATTGAGCACTTTTCAATTCGCGAAATCCGTAAATTTGAAACCATATATATATATAATTTTTATAAGTTAAAAAAATAAAACTTTTGAAAAAAATTTAGAATTTTATATTACTGAAACCATGATTTGAATCATGGTTTATGGTTCGATACAGTGTTTTCTCTCATAAAAAAATACACGTGAATAAACAAATGGTTATAATCACATGATTATAATCCATGAACCAAACGTCTCATTTTTAGAAAAATCAAAAGTGTTTGCAACACGAATCGAATGTCATATCATACGTGTGTGTGTTTCGTTTGTGCAATAGTTTTCAATATTCACCTATACCAAGTAATTAAGCATATATATGCTTACACGAAAGATGTATGACATATAACCAAATATTTAAATCAATGAAACTAGTGGACTGATCACACCAACTTTGATTAATACGTGAAGAAACATAAACATTATAGTTAATGAATTATTGTTTTTTTATTTTTCTGCTAATAATTAATTAATAATTTTGAATTGTGTATTATAATTCAAAGATCCATAAGTAAATTAGAGCCACCGTGGCATAACTGGAATATAACATGGAAGAGCTGGGGCTATTAAATTTAGTGATAATGACCCATTTTTAGGGGAGAACTTAAAAAACAACAACAAAAAAACAAAATCTTTTAAGCCGAAAACAATGATCTTTTTTTTTTCTGTAAAATAAATCTCATATTTGCTGATTAAAATTAATTGAAAAATCTTGTATTTACAGTATATATAGATATCATATTTACTTAGAATAATTGGTAAACTATCTCAGATTTGTTAAGCAAGTTGTGACGTTTCAACTAATGTCGAGCCTCGATGGTTAAGCAAATTTTGTTGCCCATATTTATAATTGGTAAACAATCTCACATTTGTTAATTAAAGCCCCGTTCATTTCACCGATTTGAGTTTTTAATTTCAATTTTGCTACAGTTAAAAGCTCTCATAAAAAATCACATTTAATTTTTTTACTACAGTTAAAAACTCTCACGTAAAATCACATATCAACTCGAATTAAAAACTTGAATCAGCGAACTGAACGAGACTTGTAAATTCAGTAATCATTTGACTCCATTAATTGATAAATATCATTATCTATGAACTTATCATTAAATCCATACTGTTTAGAATTAAAATAAAATAAAAAAGGTGGAATATACATCACACAAATTAAAAAACACTTGTGTACACGAAATTGACATTTACAGTGTGCGAAGGTCGACCGTTTACCGAAATATTTGGAGTCTTGATGACTTCTTATGTCCTTGTTTTTGGTTTATTTCAACAAAAAAAAAAAAAAAAAGAAGGAAAAAAGAGAGAGAGAGAGAGAGAGAAAACCAACAGCTAATTACTTGACTTATTGAACTGGAATGCTAGGTTTGTTTTTCGTTGTAGTTTCCCTTTATGGAGAATGGAGATAATTTTTTTTTTTTTTTTTTTGAAACGGAAAAAGAATGGAGATAATTCAAGTGATAGACATTAGAAAATATAATTAGATTATTACTATTTTTTTCTTTGGTGATCTTCTGAATGCGGCAAATATTACATGTGACCAAACTTTAGCTAATATTGAGGTTGCAAGTTGTGACAACTTTTTGTTGGTGGATTATTACCCACTACATACAAACAAATTCACTTGTGGGTTCATATGTAAGATTGTCTGGTAAAGTCAAACGCGGAAAATCTATACTTTTCAATTATGATCCTCTTTTCTTCTTCCCTTTTTTCTTTTTTTTTTTTTCAATTATGTACTTTTCAATTACTTTTCTTCCTTTTTTTTTTGTTTTAATGATGGATCTTCAAAAAATGTCTTATAGGTTTTTTTTTTTTTTTTTACTTGATTTGTTGCAGTGGATGTACCGTGATTCCGATTTGGCTAGCGATTTAATCCTCAAAGAATGTCAATGCGTTCACATTACATATAATAAGTATTTAGAAGAATAATAAGTAATAAGGCCGCGTTCATTTCGTTGATTCGAGTTTAGAATTCGAGTTTTGTTACAGTAAAAAACTCTTAGAAACAGTCACATCTAACTTTTTTACTACAGTAAAAAGCATTAACATAAAATCACATCTCAACTCAAATTTTAAACTCGAATCAGCGAAATAAACGGGACTAATAGCATGCACAATAATATCTAGGTCTACTTACAATAAAGTTTTTGTAAAAAACGCCAAAATTTTCAAAACCCATGTATCGCATGGGATTGACGTAATCTCTTACGTGTATCCAACGTATGTACGTGGTCAATAAAATTACATGCAACCTCTGTAATAAGTATTTTGGGCGAGAAAACGTTATCAAATTACCATATAATCTCTATACCAAAAGAAAAACTAATAGATCCGTCAAAAAGAAAAAAAGAAAAAGAATGGGGTATAACTAATTATTTATAAGTAGTTTTTTTTTTTTTTTTTATCAATAAAAGAACTAATAAGAACTTTTTTTCTTCTTTCTTTCCTTTTCCCCTCTTTTTTTTGTGCTAAAATGGATAATAACTGAAGTGGTATTATTGTTGTTGTAACTTGCTCTTGCGATGGCTTTTTTTTAAAAATAATATATTACCCAGTGGCCGGTGGCTTTTTCTCCGACGGCTAAGAAGAAATCAAATAGTATTAAAGTCAGTTTATTTTATCGATTTGAATTTAAAATGTGAGTTTTGTTATAATAAATTTTTTTTAAAAACAGTTACATTTAATTTTTTTATTATAATATTTTTTTTATATAAAATTATATCTTAATTCAAATTAATAAATTAAACGGATATTAAATGAGTCCGTCCATAAACTAACTGCAACAATCTGTGTACATTTGTTAGATCAATTTTTCGTAAGAAATAATTTCTCTATACATTTATTACCATGTACTATTACTATTACAAACGGTTACAAACAAAAAAGTCAATTTCTGCCTTAAAGGTGATCAAAGTGAAGCAGGAGTAGACATCTGTTGTCCTAAATTTTATTTAGGAATTGTTTGGTTAGGGAATTCGTATTCCGATTTGAATTATGATTCATGATTCATTATAGTATTTTCTCTCATAAAAAATACACGTAAATAAAAAATAATTATAATCTCATGATTCTAATATATGAACCAAACGTCTCTTTAATTGTCTCTTTATTATTTATTTGTCACGTTATTAAAATTTAACAATCCGGACACATGGAATACTAAAAATAATTGAGCTTTTTTTTTTATGCAACCAATTATGAGTGTAAGGGCAACCGAAAATTGATGTACCGCTTTAATTTTTAGAGATAATTATATTACACGATAAAAATTTATACCTTAAGTAGTTGAAATCTAACAAAAAATTTAAAATATTATAAAAATAACAGAAATGATATAATAATTATTAAATAGTGCCACATTTTTACTATATAATTTTCTAGTCGTTGTTTTATTGAATATTAAATTTCACTATTTTTGAAATTTTTTTTAAAAATTTGCTATATGTGTAACTTTTTCTTTTAGCCCAAAAAAGGTCACTATCTGCTACAGTGGTGAGTTGTACCAGGTGGGAACTGGGCAAAGAAAAAAAAAAGAAAACTAGCTATGACCAAGCGCATGTGACCGTTCTATGCGTGTAATCCTCCGACCTTTACAAATTTGTAATTAAAAAAAAAAGAGAAATAATTGAGTAAATATGAAATATATAATATACAGGGACAATAGAAATAATATAAGGTTCATTTCTTTCTTTTTTTTTTCTTTATATTCAGTTATTGGCCTGGAATTATAATTCTCTGCTGTATTTTTTGTTTGTTTCAAAGTAGAAACTAGAAAGAGAGGAAAAATAATAGATATTTCATGGTCTTCCAAGTTCATGCCTGGAAAACTTGAACGGCTCCAAGTTCTGCTTCTATGCTTGATCGATAACATTAACCACGTAGGTGTTCACGATTCTGTTATCTTCTAATTTCTGGGTTGTTCTTAGTTTTTTGTGTACTTTTTTTTCTTTTTCTCTCTACTTATTTTTTGGTCTTTAATTATGGGATTTTGGGAGTTGGGTTTTTGTCTGTTTGCTGTTAATTATATGCTTTTCGATTTTGGGTTGGGAAGCTTGCTATGATCCAAATTTACATAAGCAAAGCCATAATCAGGTTTATAGATAATTAAAGCTTAGCTTTTTCCTCTTTCCTGGTTATCAATTTTCAAGTACAAAGCAAAATTCTACTTGGTTGAGAAATCCCTGGTATGAGATTTGAGAAGATTCCGAATTATGAATGTGTGATTGGATTTAACCTTTGAAAGGTAAAAGAAGAAGTTCTAGGGGTATACCGCGTGGTCAAAATAACACGTTTTGATTTTCATTTCTTAATGGGACCATCCAATTCTAGACTCCAAAATCCTTACTTCCGCAATAAACTACATAAATTGATTTCTCTTGGTATTCTTTTACCTGAATTGGTTTCTGTGTTTGTGATTTTTGCAAGTACACTTATATATATGTGATCTCATGAATTTTCACTATTTTTTTTTTTCAAATTTTTTCTCATAAGAATTTGAAGAGAATTATGAGTTGTAGCTGCTTTGGCTCTTCAGCTTTAGTGAAGAAAAGGCGGTCTGGTCAAGCTCATGATGACATAGATGGTATGTATTTAAAGGTCCTTGTTTCATCTGTTTATTTTATTTCTTTTTGGAATAATAAAGAATTTATTACGCTTAAGTTGTTAACCACACTAGAAGTAATGTTAAGTGATCTTTTTTGCATTTGAAGGTGATCCTTTTTGCAATTAAAAAAAAAAAAAAAAAAGACTGCAACTGTGTTGTTTTTTCTCTTTTGCATTCATGAAGTGGATGTTAGAACTCAGTGCCTCTTTCTTTTGTTTTTATTTTATGTTCATTACTGTATATCTCGTCGACAATTTTGTTAATTTTATGGGGTATTTGGTTTTTCATGGACTCTAATATGTTCTAGTGTTCTGCACAAGAATTTCTGCAGCATTTCCACTTCTGTTTCTGCCCGTAGTTTCTTCAAACTCTCTATGCCTGTGCATAACATTTTTTTTTGACTTGGTGAGGTTAACTTTGATTCCGACAAAAATGAAAAACATAGCTAAGTTCATGGTTTATCTTCTCAGAATGTGTTTACGAATGCCGAAAGTCATTTCAGTTTGATTTGAGGTCAAGCTACAGTCATCCTTATTAGGGAAAGTTAATATTTTGTATATTGTTATCTTTATTAGGGGTTTTGAATTGATTCGCTTATATTTTCATATTAGGAAATCGCTTGGTTTTAGGATATGTGGTATTCTTTGGTAACTTACTTTATTATGTATTTTGTAATTTATATTTATATGGAATCAATCGATAGTCTCTTTATTAGTAAATTTTATCTTCTCCTAGTCCGTGTATGTAGGGTCATTGCCGAACCACGTTAAATATTTATGTTCTATTCTTCCTTTATTTCCTTTTTTGATTTTTAATATGGTATTAGACCATATCGCTCCAACGAGCAGCACCCTAATAATCCTCCATGTTACAAGTTGCAACTAGCACTTGAAAGCTTGATTTTAAACTTTAAAGTTACTGATGGTAATTTTACGGCTCCTTTATTGCATGAAATTTTCAATTGCCCAGGTGATTTGCTGGAAAGTATAAAACATTTCTCCTACAATGAGCTAAGAGCAGCAACGGATGATTTCCATACAAGGAATAAACTAGGGCGTGGAGGCTTTGGAACTGTTTACATGGTATTTGGAATGCACAGATGTTGGCAAGTTTTTGTATTTGTATTTGACTGTGTTTACTTAGCAAGTGCACACAAATTTTACCAGGGAACCCTTAAAAAGGGAGTACAAGTTGCTGTAAAGACACTTTCAGCTCAGTCAAAGCAGGGTGTTCGTGAGTTCTTGACCGAAATTAAGACTATATCAAATGTCAGGCATCCCAATCTTGTTGAGTTGATTGGTTGCTGTATTGATGGGGCTAACCGGATTTTGGTCTACGAGTATTTAGAAAATAATAGCCTTGAGCGCGCACTGTTAAGTAAGTCTAGCAATCATAAAGAGAGGGACTGAATTTGAGGTCAGCATAAATTAACTCCTTTTCATTGTGCATGCAGGTTCAAGGAGTACATGTATCATGCTAGACTGGGGTAAAAGATCTACTATTTGCTTGGGCGTTGCTAGGGGTCTTGCATATCTTCATGAAGAACTTGAGCCGCATATTGTGCATCGCGACATCAAAGCTAGTAACATACTTCTTGACACGGACTTAAATCCAAAGATTGGAGACTTTGGGTTGGCTAGACTTTTCCCGGATAATATTACCCACATTAGCACAAAAATTGCTGGAACAACGTATGTTAATCTCTCCTGTTGACTTTAGTTGTTGTCCAACATTGCACCTACCTTGTTTTCGTTGGGCACAAGAGAATATTTTATATGATAAATGTGCTTTGGTATTTGTTCATTGCAGTGGTTATTTGGCGCCAGAATATGCCATGGGTGGTCAGTTAACTTTGAAGGCTGATGTGTACAGTTTTGGCGTTCTAATACTCGAAATAATCAGTGGCAGAAGCAGTTCCAAGGAGAACTGGGGAGGGACGCAGCAACTTCTTGTGGAATATGTATGTAACTTGTTTATTTCCAGTACAAACAGATTCTTCATAGTTCATACCAAACTAAATAAAATATCAAAGTGTGAGAAATAGATAGAGAACTAGGACTGGTGATTCAATGTTCTGTGTGGCAGCATAATCTCTTCCAGTTTATTTCTTTTTCAATGTTGCTGATTTGTGCCAATGAGTGGAAATGACAGTTCCATTTCCCATCTGTGTCCTCATACAGGCATGGCAACTCCATGAAGAAGGGAGACTCTTGGAGCTAGTAGATCCCCAGATGGCCGAGTTTCCAAACGAAGAAGTCCTTAGATTTATCAAGGTAGCATTCTTCTGCACCCAGGCGGCTTCCAATCGGAGGCCGCTGATGAGCCAAGTTGTGAACATGCTCTCGAGAAACATCCGGCTCAATGAGAAAGAACTTACAGCCCCTGGCTACTTTCAAGATTCAAGGAACGGCGCATCTTCTTCAAAGAAAACCGGTTTGACTAGCGTTGAGATGAGCTCTGTCCCCGTCACTATAACTCAGGTGACCCCTCGATAATGGAGGGCTGAAGTTGCTGATTCATTTCAGGAATGAGGAATTTGCAGCTGAGTTCTTCTGGTCTACAGATGCGGAATCATCCGCAGTGCTAGAGTAAAACATTCCAAGAGATGGCTTTTAGTTTGATCATACATAGCTCATCTAGAGAGTAGTTTGTGCAGTAGCAGATTATGTTTCAAACAACAATTTTGTAATGTTCTTTGCATGATGGAAAAATTATTTTTGTCATAGTATATTATGTACTTCGCAAGAATTATAAAGAAAAGTGATGCAACTATAATTTATACTAACAAATTTGTCATGTTCTTTGTATTTCTCGCGTGGATTAAACGATTTTGTGCCAAACAAATGTTGTTCAGTTGATTATTTTCTCTATACGGAACAAAGTATAATTGTTCTCTCTCTGTTCTTTTTTTTTTTTCTTTTTCTTTTTCTATGGAAATTCTTCTCTCTTTTTGGTCATGAGCGCTCAACAAAACTTACCTACTTTGGATACCCAAAAAAAAATAGGAAAAAAAAAAAAGAGGAAAGACTAGCATACTCTGATAATCAGAAAAGACAAATATTCAATCCTCAAAAATGGTCAAAAAAATCGACTCCGTAAATGTCTGTTTTAAAATGATACCAACTCCACATCCCAAAAAAAGGAGGAAAAAAAATAAAATAAAGCCAAACAAATGTGTATAAAAACCCTTCCAAACTAAATACCTGATAGCAATGGAAGCCCCAAAAGATTACAAGATAGTAATTACGAATAACAAATAATATGACGAGACGGCAATTGATAAGAAATTAGCCTGAGAATGAGATTGATAAGAACATAGAAAGAACTTGTATGAATGCTTCCATTTTAAGCGGCAGGCTGACCATCGGTTGAAGCAGGAGCTTCTTGTTTAGAGGTGACATCCTTAGCTGGTGAAGCCTGTGCATCGCCTGCTGCGGACCCAGTTTTTCCAGTTGCTGCATCCTTTCCATCTTTGGCATCTTTCGCGCCCTTACCATCTTTGGCATCCTTAGGAGCAGGTGGGGATGGAATCATGTGAGGTGGGGGTGTATGCTTCAACTTCACAAGTATTTGCCTCATTCGTGAAAGATCAGTGGGTTTTCCGGGCTTCGGACCCTGGATGACCGTGATCGATGGCTTCTTCTCCTGATCTTTCTTGCCCCTCCTCTTCTCAATATTAGGAACCTCGTAAGGAATAAGTTCTGCTATAGCTTTCCAATATTGCTTGTCTGCCTCTTTATGGAACTTCTCTTGATTAGCCAGGTACAACTGCCCCAGATACAAACAGATTCAGATAGTGAATAGACCAAAAAGTGGAGTAAAAGATGGAGTAGCTGAAGAAAGAGTTCAACATGTACCTTCTCCTTTTCTCTGTTGTTAGTCTTGTTAGTCTCAACATTAAGCTTTCTTTTCTCATAGAAAGCTTGTATGTACTCCTCAGCTTCCTCAATGATCTTGTTTCTCATTTCTTTTTCCAGCTTCTCCTTCTCCTCAAGCTGAATGGCATTTTGACTGTACCAGCAAAAAAAAAAAAAAATTAAAAGGGATTACTAGTCAGGGGAATATAAATCAGACTCGCTGTATCTATACCCTGAAACAACAACAGAGTCGCCATATATGGGGCCCTAAAAGACATTTATCTCATTTCATTACCGATTGCCGGGATACTGCCACAAAATGGGTCTCTGTCCATAAATTGGCAATGGAGGTTTTATCTTTATTACCCATGGATGGAACGTTTAACCAACAAGGACCTATTAACAGGTTGGCTAATTTTAAACCATTGGATATTTATTCCTTTGATTTAAAATCGGCTGAACGATCTGTGTCGAAGATTCTCATTCTGAACTTGCCTAGCCTCTCTTCTTGTTTCAAATGAAGAATGAAGAGTGCCCTGCTTCAGCAAACACCTACTCCTATCAAAATGGTCCCGTTCTTTATTGTTTAGGGAGTTCTACTGTGTCAGATACACTAGCCTCAGACCATGGCAATGAACACTGGTTTTATATTGGTATTGGTTCTTACTCATTAAGTAGTTCCCTATGGACTCTCCCACCCTATATCTATCAATCTCTAGTGAAATCTCTAGCAAATGTATCGGCTAAACTAGTTGACATCTGATTCTCATTAGAATCAAGACCCTTCACTAACATCCCTTTTTCATTTTTGATAGAGGATGTGTGCTTAGCTATCCGTGAAGTAGTATATCGCGTTGCATGATCAATTAAAACTGAATAACAATGAAATCTTTGCAAAATACACACATCAGATACAACTGAATAACAATGAGATGTTGACATGACGCCATGAGCATGACCGGTGAAAATAGCAGTTGCTTTACTTCCAAGGTTCCACCCTGGACAGACTAGGGTTGAGTAATTTTATATACCCTTTTTACTCAAAGATTTCCAGCTACAGACTAGATCAATGAAATTCTACATGCAACACAAATATACAAAATGGCGTTTTTATAGTCTACAGTCCATAACATTTCCCTTTTCAATGTCATGTTCAAAAGGAAAAACCACAAGTTCACTCCTTAATTCCCAATCGAATCTGGTATGGAAAGAGCATCACCAATGTAGATCAACTCTAGTTGCATTAGAAAAATTAAGACCCTCACTAGCTATCCAAACAATCAATCTCCACAAAATGAAACGTCTTCTGAATTTCTGATCCGATCTCCATTACCAGTCATTTCTCATATGCCTCTCACCCTCATAATTATATAAGAACTCTCTGGATCTAAGTTCTTAGAGGAGCTATACTTCAATTCAATTAAAGGTATTGATCTTCTAGTATATAAAAAAACGAATGGAGTTGAAACTTGATAGGGTTAATTTATATTGATTCAGAAAAGATTTCCTTTAATTCTGAGTATAAGAGCTTGAAAGAATATAAAACATAGGGAAAAAAGCAAAAAAACATGCATAATAACGCAGATCTAAGCTTATTACAACATTCAGTAAACGCAGATTTGCAGATCTAAGCTGTTAATAAAAAATGACGAACAAAGATCAGTAAGATCGGAAACTCACCGCCTCCATTCGCGAAGAGCAAAGCCTTCCTCGGCCTCCATCTCGGTCGGCGGCGGGAGGACGGGACCGTCAGAGGCGAAAACTCCGTCGCTCTCACCAACGCCGTAGGAATATCCATTTCCGTTTCCATTGCCGTTCTCGACGTGGATCGAGCCGAAGGGAGACGATTCGGAGTAGTTAGGGCTCGGATCTTCGAAGCCGAAGACTCCCGGCGGAGGCACGGCAGCGGAGTGGGGATCGACGGCGACGAACTCGTCGGAGTGATGAGAAGGTTGTTCGGCGGGGAAGCTCGAGAAGGAATCGTAGCCGGAGAAGCTCTCGACGACGACGACGTCGTCGGTGTCCTCGAAATGGCGGTTCGGAGCGTTCAGGTCGTCGTCGAAGGAAGCCATTTTTGGAATCGAAAGGTTTTGCTGCCTAAAACGACGTTTCGTTTCTTTCTCTCTCTCTCTGAGTCTGAGAAATCAGAATGTGAGAGGTGGAGCTGGAACGGACGTTGAGGAAGCTTTTTTTTTCTTTTTTTTTTTTTTTTGTTATGGGTTGTACTTGTTACTTGAGTGCTTTTATATACTTAACGGTGAAGCAACGGAAGGAAATGGAAACGGAAGCGAATTGATCCAAGGATGTATTGCTAAGCGTCAGTCAACATTTCTTCGCAGTAAAAAAGAAAAAGATACTGCTTGCTTTTATAAATCGAAATTGAAAAGAAAAAGATACTGCTTGCTTTTATAAATCGAAATTGAATTATCCCAATTTTTTATGCACAGTTCATTTTATTGATTCGAATTTTTAGTTTTATATTTTTTAAAAAGTTTTTAAAAAATATCACATCTAACTTTTTCTGTTACAGTAAAAAGTTTTCATAAAATGTTACATCTCAACTCGAATTGAAAACTCGAATCCGCGAAGTGAACGAGACCTTATTCTTTTTTAGTGTCTTTATAACGAAGAATGTTATTTCACCTACGAAATTCTATTTTAATATTAAATTAATATTTTAATGGTCAGATCATAAGTAAAAATAGTTTTGTACAGCACCATAAATTTTTAAAAGAAATTTTAAATTTAAACATTATTTTTCTCACTCTATTATTTATGTCACTATAAAAAATAACTTATAGGTTTGTAAATTATAAAAGATAATTTATAGGTTATGAAAAATAATATACAGATTATAAAATATAACTTACAGATTATTAGTAGCAGATAAATTTAACGACAGTTACATAAATAAAATAATGATGTTTTATTAATAAAATTCTTAAAAATTACATTTTTAATATGGATTTGTACAAATTTAACCATTAAAAAATTACCGAATAGTTAAAAACAACGAATCCTAGTATTGGGGCAATATAACATTTAAAAATTTTCAAACAAAAAAATATAGCACTAAAAAAATATTTCATTAGTAATACTGATTTTTGAGACACGTCCTGCGTGTTTGGTTTCAATTTTGAAACTGTTTTTCACATTTTCCAAGAAGAAAAAAATAACTGGAAAGGAGATTATGTTTGGAGTAGATGAAGGATAAAAAATGGAAATAAAACTGATTTTTATATAAGAGAGAAACTGAAAACGGAAATAAGTCGTTTTCATTTCTGCCATTTTCTCCTCCCTCACTCCTCCAAGCAGCTTACAGATTATTTAATATATTTTCTGTCATTTTTGCCGTTTCAGAGATGCTAGTAAAGTGAAAAGAAAGAAGATGATTATTTAATATATTCTTTAAAATACTATTAGAGGTTTTCAAAAACATATAATCAAACGGAGTTTCAGTTTTTTTTATATTGAAAATAATCTCTCAGTAAAACTATTAAATGTATTTTTAAAAATGATTTTTGTCTGAGATTGAAAACGTTTTTCATTTCTAATTTCATATAAAAAACATGATTATTTTAGAATCGATTCCAAACGCATCCATTAAGTTGTTCAGTAATTATCGTAAGTCATTATGTTGTTGGTGTTAATAATGACAAATGATTACTGATGTAAAAGAAAATTTACAAAAATAAAATTAATATTGTTAATGAAATATAAAAATTATCCATTAAATTACCCATTTGAAAAGGTTAAATCGATTCATAAATTTTTTTTTTTTTTTGACATTTTGCACGAAGGCTCAGAATCTAACCAAATTACAAGAGAAACAGTTAATTGCGTATACCTTAGAAAATTATAATAAACACTCTTTAAAAAAAAAAAATTCAATGTAACTAATTTGATTTATTATAATTTTTTAATTCGTGAATCTTTTTTTAGAATTTAGGGGATGAATATTTTTTTTTAAAATTAAAAAAAGAAGACATGTAAGGGTAAAAAAAATAAATTTATTGCATAAGATATTAATAAAATAATAAAAAATAATGATTATTCTTAATATTGACAATTACAGGATTTAATTTGGCGTTTTATAAGAATAAATTCAATAAATATCAAATTTAATAAATATGATCGCCAGAATTCAAAATTTATCGATTTTGATCATATGGCAAATTTAATAAAACTTAGATTTATCAAATTTGATCATTGAGCAATGCGGATTTATTAAATTCGGTCACGAGATAAGACAAATATATCTCAAATTTTTCAGAATTCAACTATTCACCGACTTCCCAAAATATTCAACCCAACTTTTCATCTTTTTTTTTTCCATCTACATCCCTATATTTTACACTTGCATCTGATCCGAGTTTTCTGAGGCAATTATTGCTAACTATGAAGATCCTTCCTTAGAGTTTGAATGAGAATATCTCTTTATGGTCGTTAAATAACATTTGGTGACAGTATATAGTGAAAAAAGAATTCCAATCTTGGATGATAAATGAAAAACATAACGTATTACAAGGGCTCAGCTTACATAACCCGCCAATCTGGGGACTCTGATATGAACACAATCGAAAAACTTTTTGAATCTTCAGAGAGGTTAAGTAGGGACGTGGAGAAAAGGTTAGTTGCGTTTACAATTAACTTGTCAATGGTTGTTGTTTAAGGTTTGTTAGCACTGTGAATCCTCGAGCATTGCCAGAAGCAGCCCTCAACTCCAGATTCCCTTCGGCTCCATGCTGATAAATATCAAACACCGGAAACAAACCCGACCCGAACAAGATCTTCCAAGGACCTCTGGCACCAATTATTACCACTCACAGAAGAACAAGTATAGATTGAGCGAACTGCCTACCATAATCAGGCAATGCGGCTTCTACAACAGTGAATGGAAACCAATCCGACTTTTGGAAGGATTCGAAATAAGGCCTGAAAACAATCTGGTCCACCGGCTATGGAGTGAAGACTCCGTGAATTATGGTCTCCTTTGGCGGATTTGGTAATCCATGGCTATTGTCCGCCTCTATAAATAATGTACTTCACGAATGTCCAAACAATAGCCGTACAAAAAATCTGCGATGAAAAATGTGCTCGTGGCCTTTCAAGGAACGGGAGGAGCATTTTTAGGGTATCTAGCAGACGAGGGAACGCGCTGTAGAACTCGTGGAAACTCCTGCTGCTTCAGACGCTTATTTGAGAATCCTTGCATTGACCTTGTATCAGAAAACCAAGTTAAGATTGCGGAAGGAGAAGATGATATGAGAATCTACTAATTGCTTAGAGACCATAGATTCCAGCAACTAAAAACTGGTCGAGTTGTCATGGCATAAACAACCAATATGATAGTATGGAACTATTTCTACATCGGTTTTCAGTCATCTTATTATTAGCCCTTGTCTTAATTAGTTGGCTGAGACATTAGCAAAATATCCAAGCCACAAAAACTACCACATGCATAGCTCTGCTTTTGTAACCGTAGATGAAAAGTGAAAACCCGCCCAATAGAAAACCCAGTACAAGTACAACCAGAATTGTTGCACTTTAGACGCCCAAAAGATTACATCCTTCCAAATTCCAACCTCCCTGCATGAGATCTCAAGGTGCTCGAACGTGACAAGCAGCAGATTAAGCATAAATGGAATTGGACGCTTGTGACCAACACGGCAACATAATATTTTAGAAAGTTTTGTGGGCCTGGCCGTTCATGTAAGATACACACACACACACACACATGTGTATATATATATATATATATATATTTTTTTTTTTTTTGTTTGTTTGTTTGAGGGAGTCAAATTTCACTATGACTAAGCTAATGCAAAAGAAAATAGTAGCAACGGCTGATATGTTACACACCTTGGAGAACCCTGACGTCTCTGACCATACATTGATCTTAAACTTCCGAGAGCCTTTTCAGCAGCCTAAGGAGGACATTTAACGCTTAGAAACCATATTTTAAAACAAAACAAAAGAAAAGAAAAGGGAAGAACGCAAAAGAAAAAGCCGAGAAGAGAACTTAAGAATCCATGATAAGATACCTGCAACTTAGCCTCATCCCACGTCATCCCAATCCCTTTTCCTAAAACCTGGCCATCTATTTCTACCTAACACATAAAAAATACGAAAAACAGAGGAAGACGGTTAGAAGGGAGAAAATTACTTAGGAGATTTCTCATAAGAATTAAGCTTCTAATCTCCTAACAAATAGAAAAAACTATCTTCAAAAGTTCCAAGGACGAGAGGAACTATGCAGTTATATTGTGGACTAACTCTTGAACCTAAGAATTAATTGATGTACAATTACAGCAATCGTAAGGGCTCAAAAATGTTTCTTAGGCTCTTAAAACAGACAGCAGTCCCTGAATGCACTTTTATTTCTTGCATTGAAACTCAATTACACGTGTGGCATGAGTTTCAAAGCATTGGTACAAAAGTTGGCTAACCGCTCCTCTGCAACCAAGTTTTTCACCCCTTCATGTGCACTAAATAACACAATAAATGTACACATCGCAATCAATTTCACGACATTTCATGCTTCGTGGGGAGAGATCTCTCTTGAGGAAGTACAAAGAAAAAGTATGTCAAGAATTTATGTCTATGCTCATTCATACATGCACATGAAGATAAAGACATCAACAACCTTAATAAGGACTTGGTTTCCACTCTGAAATAAAATACTCAAATGAAATGGGCCAAAATACTCGGCATTTTATTAGATCATCCATAGTAATAAGGCAAATCATCCTGCCAGTTCATACCTGTGCATACACTTCATCTTTTTGAATCGGACCATTAGAAGGTAGAGGTTGAGGATGAAAAGCTAAACCAAGACCCTCCGTCATACACTGAAGAAGTTGAATGCACAATCACACAAATAAAAATCAAACACAGCATAGTTTGTCACTGTAGAAGTAACCCAACAAAAAAGGGAAGAGGAAAAATAATTAAATCATTTAGATCTTACGTATTCTTTAAGTGCAGAGACTGAACTCATAGATTTCTTAGAGCCTTCCAATCTAGCGCCAAAAAGCCTAGATGGCTCTGACGCAGTTGAATACGACAGGGACTCCTCTTTGGGAAATGAATGGCTCCCAAATGAATTCACATTACTGACAAAGCCATTGTCATTTGCATCAGGAAACTTAGTCATGTCAACAACCAAAGAACCAGAATCTGGCTTAACCCGTGATAAATACATATCTGCAAAACATTGTCCAAGATTGTCATAGTTAACAAAAAAGAAAAGCTATGAAGGCAACCCCTCAAAACATGATTGTTTAAGAGAAGAGCCCCCAGCAACTCCAAAGTTTCCTAAAAGTACTAAAAAATGAAAATTCTAATAACATAACAATGATTGTAGTTTTTCCCGGTCAATTTCGCTGAAAAAAAGAGTTTCCTTTGGCAATGGCTTCATTGGATTGAAAACCATAAGAACCACTCGTTCGTCTTTTTCTTCCCCTCTTCTATTTTATTTTATCGACAATCAACAATTTCATTTCTTATAACAAAAACCATATAAAACAGGTAACTGATTTATACATTTAATTAATTCAAATGTTATAACCAAAAACAAAAAAAGTTATCAAGTAAATAGCAACAAATAAAGCAAGTAATCTTACCAGCCAAATTTTTTAGAGAGATTTCAGCAGCCTTATAACAAAAACCATATAAAACAGGTAACTGATTTATACATTTAATTAATTCAAATGTTATAACCAAAAACAAAAAAAAAGTTCTCAAGTAAATGGCAACAAATAAAGCAAGTAATCTTACCAGCCAAATTTTTTAGAGAGATTTCAGCAGCCTGGAGTTGAGCTTCCCTTCTTGTTCTACCAATTCCTTCACCAATTTTTTCTCCAGCAAACCAAGCCTACAAGGGTGAGACAGGTTGATTTTGAGGATGCCAAATTGCCAATTATTATTTAGTCAATGGAACACCACAGCTTAATCCGATAAAAAGGTGTCTGAACTCTATTTATGGCATTTAAGTCTTTCTTTTGAGACTTTTCCAAATTATAAAGATAAAAAGTACATAAAAGATAAATTACTGGAAGGTTTCACTCAAACACTTCGTTGAATTATTCAACTATTCAACCATGTAACCCAATTAAATTTAGCCCATAGCATTAAATCACTGAAAATGATACATAAAGTCCAGAAATTGAGAGTCAAAAGTACCTCAACAGAAAACTGTAGTTCAGCGCACGCAACCAAAGCCGGTCTGAACTCCACCTGTAACGTTTCACCAAAACAAGTTGTGAGAGAAAAAGAGAGATAAATTCTAGAAAATGCTAAAGTGTATGGTATTCATAAGCACTGACCCACCATTCCAGATTTTCACATTATAGACTCCTACACTTTACCTTGGTTCCACACTTCATTCCAATTTCCTGTAGAACTCCAGCTGGAGTTTCCGCATTTGATACTGCTGGGCCAGAATCAAAGTCGAGTTCCCTATTGCTCGAAAATGATCGACTCAAGGAAATCTCCTCACCTAGAAAACGCATATCCCCGTAGGAAATTGCTAAGATCAACAATTGCACAGCAAAACAGCTAAGAATCATTCAAAGCAAACAAATGCATTAACCCTCCATGTACAGTTACACAATTTTTAACACTCACCAATCAACAAAGAAAGATAATTTTGAAGACAGATTTGAAAGAATAATAATCTTCTATCTTATTGAATATTGCGGAAAAGATACAAATAAATAGGCAGCCAAGCTAGTTGGCTTATCCTAATAAAAGGAAAGATAATCTCCTAATAAAGTGACTGATTTGAATTTAATATTCAAATCAGATTTTATTACCTAATTCCTAATCCTAAACAATCCCGGATAAAAGATAAGGAAAGATTTGAATCTCCTAAATCTTCCAAACTAATTTATCCTAATTAAACCCGATTTGGACCCTTTTACCCTAATACGTCGACACTCCCCCTCAAGCTTGGACGTAAATGTCTATGAGTCCGAGCTTGCTTGCTAGTTCTTCAAACGCTGGTCCGTGCAGTCATTTAGTTAGAATATCAGCCACTTGTTGCTTCGTCGGAACATATTCAACACTGATTATCCCACTCTCAATTTTTTCTGTAATAAAGTGTCTGTCAACCTCCACATGTTTAGTTCTGTCGTGATGGACTGGATTGTATGCTATGCTAATCGTAGCCTTGTTGTCGCAATAGAGCTGCATAGGAAACTCACACTTAATCTTTAATTCTCCCAGTAGTCGTTTTATCCAAATTGCCTCACAAATGCCATGAGCCATAGCCCTGTATTCGGCTTCAGCACTACTTCTTGTAACTACGGCCTGTTTTTTGCTACGCCAAGTCACCAAGTTTCCCCAAACCTGAGTACAATACCCGGATGTTGACCTCCTATCTTCTTCAGAACCTGCCCAATCTGCATCTGTGTAGATTTTCACCTTCATGTCCTCGCTCTTCTGGAAGAACAGTCCTCTCCCTGGATTCTTCTTGAGATATCGTAGTATTCGGTAGACTATATCAAGATGTTTTTGGTGTGGTGTATGCATGTATTGGCTGACCACGCTGACCGCAAAAGCTATGTCTGGTCTTGTGTGTGAGAGATATATCAATCTTCCCACAAGTCTTTGATATCTACCTGTGTCTACCAAATCTCCTTCACCTAAATTCTTCCTTCCTTTCGGTTCAATGGGAGAGTCTATGGGCTTGCAACCGAGCATTCCTGTCTCTTCTAATAAGTCCATTGTATACTTCTTTTGTGATATGGAGATCCCCTTCTTACTCCTTGCAACTCCATCCCTAGGAAATATCTCATGAATCCTAGGTCTTTGATCTCGAACCCCCTAGCCATAATCTTCTTTATTTCCTCCATCTCTTGGAAGTCATCTCCAGTCAAAATTATGTCGTCCACATACACGATCAAAATTGTAACCTTGTTGTTTGTAGAGTGCTTGACGAAGAGAGTATGATCTGTTTGGCCTTGTGTGTATTCGTGGCCTTTGATTACTTTGGAGAATCTTTCAAACCAAGCCCTAGGTGACTGCTTCAAGCCGTATAAAGATTTTTTCAGCTTACACACTATATTGTCCCGTTTGTCCTCATAGAAACCCAGTGGGAGACTCATTTATACTTCTTCTTCTAGCTCTCCATTCAGAAATGCATTCTTTACATCAAGTTGATAAAGAGGCCAATCCATCTTTACATCAAGTTGATAAAGAGGCCAATCCATATTTGTTGCTAAGGATAAGAGAACCCTAACGGTGTTGAGCTTCGCAACAGGAGCAAATGTTTCTGTGTAGTCTATTCCGTAGGTTTGAGTGAAACCCTTCGCTACCAATCGGGCTTTGTACCGCTCTACTGAACCATCTGGCTTTACTTTAACCGTGAACACCCACTTGCACCCCACCACTTTCTTGTCTTGTGGTAGTTCTACTAGGCTCCAAGTCTCGTTTTTCTCAAGGGCATGCATCTCTTCTAGCACCGCAGTCTTCCATTCTGGAACTAGAGCTTCTTCAATTCTCCTGGGAATATCAAGTCTAGAAAGGTTTGTTGTGAAACCACGAAACAAGGGTGATAGATTATCATATGACACAAATTTGGAAATTGGGTGTTTTGTAAATGTCCTAACACCTTTTCTTAAAGCAATGGGGTCATCTAGTTTATCATGGAGGGTTTCGGGATTACCTGAGGATGAAGGATTAGGACTCACCATAGGTTCGGATTCAGGGCAGTCCACAGTGCCTGTTAATTGTTTATTTCCTTGAAAATTTTTCCTCCGAGAGTATATTTGCAGTTTTGGAAATGGCTGCGGAACTGGAGCTAGCTGTGAGCAGGGCTGGGGGGACAACTGTTCTGGCTGTGAAGACAACTGTGATGGCGGCTATGAATCTTCCAGTTCAGTTTCGGTTTGGACTGGAACTGGAATGTCGGTACTGGGGGCTGATTGTGGGGTCAAGGCTTCTTCAACTGTGGCTGTGACATCCCATTCCCACACATAAGCTTCGGTACCATTACTCTCCCCCTGAAGCAAAGTGTGGGAATAAAAAGGTACTTCTTCAAAAAAGGTGACATCTCGGGTGACAAAAGTTTTTTTAGTTTGTGGGCAGAAACACCGATATCCCTTTTTTGTTAGAGAATATCCAAGAAAGATGGTTTTTATGGCTCGAGGGTTGAGTTTGGAGTGATGTTGGGAATGGACATGGACAAACGCAGTACAACCAAAGGTTTTAAGGGGAAGGTTGTTTGTGAGGATATTTGAATGTGGGACTTGAGTTGTAAGGACAGACAATGGGGTTTGAAATTTTAGGGGGCGGCTAGGTAGTCTATTGATGAGAAAGGCTGTAGTTAAGATGGCATCACCCCATAGATGTTTAGGTACGTTCATAGTGAACATAAAGGCACGGGCTACTTCCAACATATGCCGATTCTTTCTTTTTGAAGTTCCATTTTGTTGTGGTGTTTCCGTACAAGAACTCTAGTGAATGATTCCATTTTGATCAAGGTAACTACCCAAAGCGGACTAGAAGTATTCACCACCATTATCAGTTCTTAGAACCGAAATTTTTTTTTCTGAAACTGAGTTTGAACCATTTTATGGAAGGTTTGAAAGATTTGGCTGGTTTCAGATTTGTCTTTAAGCAAGTACACCCAAGTCACCCGTGTATGGTCATCAATAAACGTGATAAACCATCGTTTGCCATTTAAGGTTGTTACCCTAGAAGGGCCCCATATATCAATGTGAATCAAGGAGAAAGGCATAGAGGGTGCATATGGTTTTGGTGAGAAAAGTACACGTGCATGCTTCGCAAATTGACAAATATCACAAGTAAATGAAGCAGTATTTTTATTCTTGAATAGGGCTGGTAACAAAAATTTCAAATAGGAAAAACTGGGGTGGCCAAGTCTATGATGCCACAACATTATTTCTTTATTACTAGAAACCGAAATAAAAGACACTCCTGACACATGTGCTTGTAGACTCTCAGATTCTGAATTTTCAAGGAAATAAAGTCCTTCATAGGCTCTAGCACTGCCAATCGTCTTTCCCGATGATAGGTCCTGAAATTGACACATAGAAGAGGAAAAATTAGCTACGCAGTTATTGTCACGAGTGAGTTTGCTAATGGATAGCAAGTTACACTTTAAGGTTGGAACATGTAGGACGGAATGAAGAATAAGGTTTTTTGAGATTTGGATTGAACCTATTTCAGCAATAGTAGCTAGAGACCCATCGGCAATCTTAATTTTAGCAGTATTAGAATATTGAGTATAGGAGAAAAAATGTTTGGAACAACCTGTCATGTGGTAAGAGGCCCTAGAATCAATGATCCACGGTTCCTGGGCATGAAGTGATGAGATTAAGGCTGAATGGTTACCATTATGTGTCGTGGTGCACAATCCTACATTAGAAATTGAATTGGACGGTGGTGTGAGAAGCCGATAGAGTTGCTCTAACTGTTCCTTGCTTAGTGAAATTGAAGATTCTGCGGGTTGTTGTGTGGGAGCATCCATTCCATGCTTCTCTTGGGAGGCCTGAAACCCTCTTTCCTTCATTCTGTTTCCGAGGAGTCCAGTTTGCTGGTTTTCCATGGATTTTCCAGCAAGTATCTTTGGTGTGTCCAGTCCGCTTGCAATGATCACACCAAGGCCGGTTTCTTCTTTGCTGGTTTTCGCTGTGGAATTGTGGTCCTCGTGCGGCTAAGGCAGAGGCATCCGTGGTTGAGTTTCCAGCATCATTAGGCGTCGAGATAACACCACCGTTGGAGGTTCCTAGCATTAATTTCTTTCGGCTCTCTTCCTGCTTCACTTCTGAAAAAACCACACGAACATCTGGTAGAGGCTTGGTACTTAAGATCCTTCCACGAACATCATCTAAGGTTTTATTGAGACCAAGTAAAAACTTGTAAACTCTGTCTCTTTCCAGAATTTCTTTGTATTGCTTATGATCCTTGGCACAATGCCAATCTGATTCGTCAAGGATGTCCAGTTGCTGCCAATGGCGTGATAAATTATTAAAGTATTCTGTTACGCCTAATTCTCCTTGACGAAGATCATTCAGAATTCCCTTTAGCCTAAAATTTCTGATGTGTTTTCCCTGTTGGAGTAACTCCGCTTCACTGCATCCCACATCTCTCTTGCTGTTTTGTAATACATGAAGTTCTCTCCCATCTCGGTATTCATGGAGTTGATCAGCCATGACCGAACCATGCTATTCTGTGTCTTCCAAGTTTTAAACTTGGGATCCTTTTCATCTGGTTGTGCAACATCGCCGGTGAGGTAATCTTCTTTTCCCTTTCCTTCGATGAACATCATTTCGGAATGTGACCATTGGACACAATTTTGTCCATTGAATTTATGACTTGTGATTTGCTGAAAGAAGGCTTTGAATCCATTGATTTGGATCGGATTAACAGCCCCTGAAGAAGCAGAGGTAACCGCGGATGATGAGGTTTCTTTCCCGCTGGCCATCCCGTATTTTGTCATTCCGGTTGGCAGAACATTAGGTTTCAGAAAGTGGCTCTGATACCATGAAGACAGATTTGAAAGAATAATAATCTTCTATCTTATTGAATATTGCGGAAAAGATACAAATAAATAGGCAGCCAAGCTAGTTGGCTTATCCTAATAAAAGGAAAGATAATCTCCTAATAAAGTGACTTGAATTTAATATTCAAATAAGATTTTATTACCTAATTCCTAATCCTAAACAATCCCGGATAAAAGATAAGGAAAGATTTGAATCTCCTAAATCTTCCAAACTAATTTATCCTAATTAAACCCGATTTGGACCCTTTTACCCTAATATGTCGACAAATTTGATCTCACAAGAAACAATGGTAACTATAATGTACATGCATCAATTTAACTTTTGAACAAAAGAAGATGGTGATCACCTCCAAGGTATTCAACGGTTTAACCAGATGGAAATAATTTTTACCCTCAGCAATATCATATTACCAAATGCTAAAAGTGAACATGAAAGCCTAGAAAATATACAAGCCAGCAATCTCAAATTAATTATTCATGTAGCTCACCTGGCGAGGAATTATAACCAGGTAAGGAATAATTTGATCTAAACCGATCATCTCTAGGTAAGGCCTGAAAATGTAGGAATGATAAGCTTTCTCAGTCAGAGGTACTGTTGAGCAATTAGAAACACCAAGATTCACATCCCCAACCTTCCCCCCCACCCCACCCCACAGAACAAAAAAAGAAAAAAAAAAAAGAACCAAACAAAGAAAGATTACCTCTTTTGGTAATCTTTGATTTTCGTGAATTATTCTATCAGATGGAATTGAGCTCTCCACCTTAGGGAAAAAAGATGGATGATGAGGTTGATGCTTTTCAATATGCATTGGTTCTGAATTTAGAGGAAATTCTTTCGCTGCTACTCTGCTTGGTTGCCTTGGGGGGCTCATCTCTTCCGCTGCTGGAAACCAACCTCCACGGGATTGTACCTGTGGAAGAGGTACTTGCATTGGAGGTCTTGCAGGAAATGGAGGTTCCGTTGGTGTATGCTCTCTAGTATCTTGCCCATGTTGCAAAATTAAAAGCCTCCGCCTTGTATCAGGATCTAATTCTGATTCTGGTACCTCACCTTCTTCTCTAGCAGGAGAACTTTGCAAGCTTGATTCCACGGAGCCAATATATGGTTTAACTACTGAAGCTACCTGAGGGAACTGTATATTTGGGAAAGGCATCATTGATACTTGAGTTGTTGGCGGTGGAACACTGCCAGAAGAAGATGGCACTGTATACTGAAGAGGAGAAAGTCTAGGATCAGGGTTAATGGCTGATGAAGCAGCTGATATTGCTTCCTACGTACAAGAAACAAGCAGATTAGACAATTGAAATGAGTTAACTAAAAGAACAGGCATTAATGCAAATAGATTCACATGAATTGCAAAACAAGATAATTCCACGTGAATACTGGTCCTCCAATAGGCCTGAACCAATCTCAGAACTCTTATATACATGCAAAATGATACAAAGAGGCATTGGCTTAAATCTTGATAACTACCTTCAATCTCCTTTCAACCTCGGCATCTGCCATGCCATCAAAAGCAGGTAGATCTCTGTTTCCATTTGAAGCAGATCCATCATCCTAAATAATGCAAAGTAATATTTTCACAAATATGCAAGACCACACTGGAGGGAATTCTGGAAAAATAAACACATCTTCCACTCAATACTGTCCAAGAAAAGGAAGAAGGGATAATGTACCTCAGAGGCTAGATAATTGCTCACGTCTGGAGGGGAGGGGATATGTTTAATATCGTCTTCATAAGAAACTTCAGGAATCTTTTGTAGAAGACCGTCATCAAATTCTCTGTTGTCAAATTGCAGAGATAGTCAGACAGAAATAACTACATTATTTGGAAAATACTGAACCAGTATTTGATTGCTCAAATTAGAAATTCCACTAGTAAATTTTGTAGGTTATGTGCTTAACAGTGTCTATGGCTACAATTGAAAACTATATACCGCTGTATAACTTACTTGAAAAAACCACCTCTGACATTGCAAGCAACATTTCTCGCAACACATAAGACAGGAACAGCATTGTTTGCCTACAATTTTAGGAGTCACAACATAAGTACATGTGCATGTACACCTGAAAAACACAAGCACTGTAGTACAGAAATCTTGAGAGTTGTAGAGAAGAGTAATACTTCAGCTTGAGGAGCATAGTATGGGGCAAAAGCAGGAACAACATGCACCCTAGGTTGATCCTTTTCATCCCACACTTTCAAGCGATCATCAATCACCAATGCCATCTTCGGATGGCACAAACCATCTTGAAACACATTGAACAATGACTTCCTTAAACCTTTAAGAACGCAATGAATATGATCAGTGCAATGTCCGACAAGATGTGTCCCATGCCAATTTAAGGACAAATATACAAAAATTACATAAATGAAAGTAGAGGCTGTTCTAAAATGAATAGTGCCACTCACCAGATTTAACGCACACTATACGTTCCAGTAATGCTTTTGAGTTTATCAAATTTGAATGTGGATCAAGAAGCCTCCACATTTCTAAAGCATAATCCCTTTCAGCCATCGTGCAAACATAGACCTCAAAGCGCTTACGCCCTCTTGCAGTCAAATAACTCCTGAGATCCTCCCATGCAGGTCTCAGCCTCACGAGAACACTTGTATCGCGAATCTATGGTAACAAGGAAGTACATTAGCGTGCTATATAGTAAAAACAAACAACTATTGCAAAATCATGTACAGGCTCCAGCAGCATCCACAACAAACCTGCGGGTTAATACGAGTCAGAATGATGTTTTTCTCATGTAACCTTATAAGCGGACGGACAATAGGTTGATGGTTGTCAGACAAAGCAGGAACAACCTCAGATTGAACTTTTATAACTCTCCCATTATCAACAACCTGGTCATTTTCAACATATTGCTTCAATATGCTCTTGTCATCTTGATAGCGCTTTACTTCTGCCAGCATACCAGACATGCGTTGGGGGTCCGACTCACTGCTTATTTTCCGCTGCAGAGCCTCAATTCTGTCCTCAAATGAGCGCATTGTGTTAGCAACTATGAGTGTTTCATCAAGATCAAATACAATACTGAGACATCTAAGGTTCAGCATGCCAAGACAGGAATTGTAAAGCCCTGACGCAACATTAAATCCCCAGAAACATGGATACTGTTTGTCACTGTTCCTAGAATACATGGCAACCAAATGGAGTTCCTCTCCAGCTCCAAGTGACATTACAGCAGTCTGTAGACATCAGAATGAGAAGCACTATCATTAAACTGACAAAAAAAAAAGGTATCTAAAGCAACATGCAAAGCATTATCATATAAAACGGGAAGATATGATATTTTACATAATAAAGCAGCAAACAGACACGTGTATTAACCCCCATATAAGAATTTATACCATATTTGTTAATATATAATTTAGTAAATTATATATGTACACATACCACAACAATCAGATAACAGCAGTAATCGTCCAAAAAGATTCAGATTGCAATGCCAGAGAAGAAATAAGTATCACTAATCTGGTTAGTATCTATTTTCACGCTACTAGCAAGCATTCTCAGCGAGCTAAAGAGATAAGCCAAAGGAAAAGTAATGAGAACTTGAAATGCAACGTTTTAGTTCTTCCTCACAGAAATTTATACACAATTTAACAACATAGCAAAATTAAAACCAAGTAATACATTCTCGGTATTAAACCATTGTCCAATAGCAATTTCAGGAATAAGGTTCCAGCTTCACAGTCCTATAAGAAGTTTCTAATTATTTGGTTTCCATGAAAATAAAAAAATTAATAAATAAGAACTAATTAACTCAGACAGTTAGCATAAAATTTGGGGCAAGGCAAAGAGTTCCATATAACTGGGTTTAACTGAAAATTTTCAGAAATTTTCCTGTATATTCCATAATGGGTCCCCTGCAAATATTGTCTCCAAAGTCCTCTGATTAACAACAAGGCAATTGATTCCAAAGTGAAGTTTATCTTAGCTTTAGGTTTTTGTTTCTATGAAAATTTAATTAATTATTGTTTCCTTTATTTACTACATTTGATTTTTAGAATTTTATCTTTATATTATCATCATCTTTTTTTTTTTTTTTCTTCTGAGTTGTGCTTCGATACCTTGTTCTCCATGACACAAGAGGAGTGCAAAAGAAAGAGCGGCGAATCCTGTGAGTGCGAGGTCTTTGACTCCATTTTGAAGCAAACACCAAAGGAAGAAGTAATCGTATGAAGCACTGCCAATGGCGGACATCTCTCACTCGGTGGCGAAAAATGGCTTATTCTGATTTCCTTCAAGTCATCGATAATCCTGTGGTCGATGTTGTTCTCTCCCGGATATATCTCTACCTCCCCAAGTAACTCCTTTCCTTTATACACCACCGATTTATACATTTTCTTTGTTTTTCTTTTTCTTTTTCTTTTTTCTTTTCTCACCAGCCAAACACCACCTCCTTCATCAAATCCGAGTTCTCGTCAAGTTCCAGATACTAAATCGGTTAAAAAAAATCAAAAAAGAAAGAAAAGCTCATGAGTTTCGATTACAGAAAAATCATCATCATCATCACCGTCTTCTTCTTCTACTTCAAGGATTGCTTTAAATTTGGTCCAATTTTCGGTTTTAAATCACTGATCCGTGAAAGTGAAAAGAAAGAAAAAAAAGAAAATTAGGGTTTTGTATTTTCCTCTTCTTCTGGAAACTTTTAGATCCCTGGTTGTTGTCGATGATGATGATCAAAAAAAAAAAAGCTCTCTTTGAGCGATCAATCAAATTCCGGTAAACGAAATCGGGAATCTGTGTTTAGTTTTGATTGTCTGTCAGTGATTGTGGAGTTAGGGTTTGGTTATTGATGGTGATGATGATGAAAAACACGAACCAAGTCGCCAAGAAGAGAAACCCTAGATCCAGATAGCGAAAGGTCAAAAATAGTACATCCTCAAAAGTTAAAATTACGAAATTAATATTTAGTGCAGAAAATAAAATAATTAAACAAAATATAAAATCCAAGGTAGCTAGTGGGGGAAATAGCGAATTTACGAGAAAATTCGGGAATTATTACGCGGGTTAAATTACGGCCTCGTTCACATTATAAATTTAAGTTTTTAATTTAAATTGAGATGTAATATTTTTTAAAAATTTTTTATTATAATAAAAAAAATTTAAATGTGACATTTTTTAAGAATTTTTTATTATAAAAATTTAAAATTGAAAATTTAAATCGGTGAAATGAACGAGACATGCATAAAAAAAAAAAAATCGGGTAAAAATCATGTAAGAGGCTCGAGCCTCGAAAAAAGTTTTTATTGAAAATGAAAAGTAAAGAATCTCAGCGAGAGAATTCTAGGGATGGGTTACGTGGCGGATAACTATTGGCAGCCTTATCTGTGGTTGTGGCTTTAGATACTGCTTCTTTGACTGTTAAATGGAGCTACTTTGACTCGTGTGCAAGCCCGTAGTTTGTACTTTTTTTCCGCGAGGAAATGAAGTCGTTTCTGGCTAAAAACGTATGTCGTTTTTTCGGTTTAAGAATGCACAGCAGAGAGAGAGAGAGAGAATCGACGTTTTAACGGCATGTCGTTTCTCATGGAAAGCAAACGGTGAACTAAGACCTCATTCACTTCGCTGATTCGAGTTTAGAATTTGAGTTTTTTTACAGTAAAAAGCTCTCACAAATAATCACATCTAACTTTTTTGCTACAGTAAAAAGCTCTAACATAAAGTCACATCTCAACTCGAATCAACGAAGTGAACGGGGCCTAAAACTCACAGTTTTTGTTGAAAAACGGAATATCGTTTATCACGACGTGTAATTCTTATTCGCTGAAGATAAACAACACTGAATAATGTTCATTTCTTGTTTAATTTTGATGAGACAATATGTCATTTCTGTTAAAAGGGGACTGTTAAGAAAAACTTTTTTTAAAATTTTTTTAACATGTGAATCTTATTTTTCTACAAAAAATTATTTTCTTAATATATTACTCTTTTAAGAGTTTTATTTAGCAAAAAATATATATATTAAAGTAGAGCACATTAGGAAAAATAGTGATCCATGTTTAAATCAGTGGAAAAATCAACCTCGATCTAAGTGGGGTTATAATAATATTCTTTTTAGAATTAACATATTTTTATCGAAATTTAAAAGTGTTATTCGCACTTCTTAGCTGTAGATAGATTATCCAATTAAAAATCTGTTTAGAATGTATACTTAAGTCTTGATTCTTAATTTTAACGTTTGAAATTCAATGAGAGAAAAATAATGTAGCAGAATCAATGATTTTAGTTTAAATATATGAAATAAATGGGCCTAAACCATTTTTACTAGTTCAACAATTCCTTCTTTATCATTTATTATCCGGTTCTTTCCTTATTGATTCTTCTTTTTTTTTTCTCCTCTAATATCTTATGTATTTTTAAACGTAGCTAATTGAATTGTTATTTTCTAATTTATTCTGATTAGATTATATCCTCACTTAAATATTTTTTCAATATTTTTTAAATACTATTGACAATTGTAACCTTTATAAATATTTTTCTTTTTCATTCAAAATATTTTTTCTCTTAAACGCATTCTTACTTAAATATCTATTTTCTTCTCACGTATACCCTTAAATAACTTTCTATACGATTCATAGATGCTATGTATATATATATATATATATATATATATATAATATTCGACAAAACATTTCCATAAAAATGAAGATTATTCGACAATAACATAACTTATCGTTATAATTAATTATTTTTCTCTAATATATACAAAAATATGATTGAAACTTATAATTTAGGTTATCCACTATCTAAAATCTCGTATATTTCTCTTGTCTCTTGTTGACATAAGAAGAGTAAAAAGGTTTTTTTTTTTTTTTTTTTTTTTTTTTTTTTTTTTTTTTTTTTTTCTATGGTTGCCTCTTGAACTTGTCGTTATTGACACATCAGTCCCTAAATTAATTGACTCCCTTCTATATGAGAGGTCTAATTGAAAACGGTGTTAAATTTGTTAAGAGTTTTTAAAAATATGTTGCGATCGTGAGCAACAGGAAGATGAGGATCAGACTAGATTTGGCGGCGACATGCTTCGGGCCCGTCTGTTAGGACTGAAATTTTCACCTATTGGAGACAATTGTCACAATTTTTAATTTAGGAACTGATTTGCTAAAAGTGACAAGTTCGGGGACAACCATGCAAAAAAGCCAAATAATAAAAAACCATAAAAGAAGAGCACTTGCCCAGTGCCCACATAGCTGAGCCTGAGCCGCCAAGCACAGAATCCCAATTGAATCAAAATGACGAAACTACCCTGGATAAGAAAATAAAGAAAAATTGGTGATTGGCCCATCCATTGAGAAATTGTACGGAATTCCACGGAAGCAAAACCGGATCGTTTTCGAATTGAAGCCGTCTTCTTCAGCTCACCCAGGAGGAAAAAAAAAAAAATTCTCTCTCCTCTCTCTCTTCTCTTCCTCCTCTCTCTCTTCTCTCTCTCTCTCTCCGATTTTTCATCTTCGTCTTAAAAACGAGGACCTCCCCTCCTCTTTCTCCTCAACGGCCGAAACTCGCCGATTTTAGATAGAGAAAGAAAAAGAGAAGTCTCCGTTTCTTCTCATTTCCCAATTCTGCCCTCCAATTTCAACCCTCTTTTCTGGAAAAGCCCCTCGCCAATGCCCAGCCGAACGCCTCGGAAGAGATAACACAGCGGAAGGGCAAAATTGGGAAAGAAAAACGACGCCCACGATGAGCGTGAGGACGTACGGACGTCGCAACCGTGGCAGCATTCCCAACGGAGCCTTCTCCGTTGACGCCCTAAACGACGCCGTTCACGACTCCCAAGAAGACACTCCTTCCCAAGACCACCACAACCTGTACGGCATCCCTTTCTCATCGCAAGAGTCTTCTTTCGAATTCGATCCGTACGGCATCGATTTCTCGTCCCAGGGCTCTTTCCGCGACGACGATTCGCTGCCGAACGCCGTCGTTCCGAAGCCCAAGAAGCCAAAGGTTTCGAGGAATTCGGCTCGGCCGCCGGCGATTCCGGCGACGGCGACGCTGATGGAGGCGCAGGAGTTCGGGGAGATGATGGAGCACGTGGACGAGGTGAATTTCGCGCTCGATGGGCTCAGGAGGAACCAGCCGGTGCGGATCAGGAGGGCGAGTTTGCTGTCGCTGTTGTCCATCTGCGGTACGGCCCAGCAGAGACGGCTTTTGAGGGCCCAAGGGTGAGTAGAATTCATTAATTTTGTTAAATTCTTGATGGGTTTTTGAGATTTAAAGAAAGAACGTTATTTGGCGATGTGGGCATGCGAGTTTTCAAGAAGATCTTTGATGGGTTGGACATTTGAATTCAAATGTGAATAGAATGTTGGGATTTGGTGAGTTTCATGCGAACGTATATTTGGAGACTTATCTTGATTTTAATTTTGACAAATTTCTGGATTTATTTCGAATTTAAAGTGCGATCTTGGGAGATTTGAACATGTGAATTTTGGGAATTCCTTTGTTGGACTTTGATCTTTGGAAATTTTAGTGGGCGAATTTCATGTAGTTCTTGACGGGTTTATTAAATTTGTGCTTAAGATGTAGTCGTCGACGGGTTTTTAGGGCATATAGTAAATTTGGCGTTTGAGATTGTTGATTGTTGCGAACGTTTGGCAAAGAATTTTTGTTTCCTTAATGTGTTTTCTTAAATAGGACGAAATTATGTTTAATTATAACTTGGCATAAAAAGCACAGAATTTTGTGAAAAACGCATAACTGTTATGGGCACTAGGGAGGCAACAAAATTTGGTTCTAGACTTCACGTCTCTTACCTTCTTTAATATTTTCCTTTTTTATAATGTTCGTCTGAATATCTGAAGAAAAAATAAAACTATCTCATTTCTCTCTCTTCGAACAAAATTGTTCCGTGAGTTTTGTTGTTGATTGACTCTCTTAATCTCTGCGGTAACTATTTCCAGGATGGCAAAGACAATTATTGATGCTGTCTTGGGTCTCAGCCTTGATGATTCGCCTAGCAATTTGGCTTCTGCTGCTCTTCTTTTTGTCTTGACAAGTGATGTAAGTTGCAGTCTTGCAGAGTGTTTATTTATTTATTTTTTTTGTGATTCTAATTAATTTCCAAATTAACTTTTCCTCCTATCAAGAGCATTTTACAATGTGGTGGAAATTTTGAAGTTCCAGGCTTGTCCACATTTCTTGGAAATTCGTCGATTTCAACTATAGTAGTCTTGATGGTTTGTGTGTTTTTTTGTCAGGGTCAAGATGAGCACCTTTTGGAATCACCCAGCTGCATACAATTTCTAATTAGGTTGTTGAAACCAATATCCTCTACTGCTACTGAAGAAAAAGGACCAAAAATTGGTTGTAAGCTTCTAGCATTAAGTACAGGTCCTGGCATTTTGAAGACTTCCAAAACAGGGGATAGCACTTCTGCTGCAATTTTGTCCAAAGTACATGAAGTTCTCCTAAGTTGCAAGGAGTTAAAGTCAAGCTATGGGAATACTGGAATGAGAAAGCAAAATTTGTGCCCAAAATGGATAGCTTTGCTGACCATAGAGAAAGCATGCTTATCTACTATCTCTCTTGAAGGTATGCCTTCTGTTTTGAAGCTGATGGTTTCCGAGCTCCATCGTATATCACTTGATTGAACTCATTTACTATATTTCTATATGTTTAATGTTTGTCCTTTAATTCATTTCATCTGATGCTGATTGTCCTTTGTTTCTTTGCTCGTGTCCAATCAGAAACCTCTGGGACAGTGAGGAAAACCGGGGGAAACTTTAAGGAAAAATTGCGAGAGCTTGGAGGTCTTGATGCTGTCTTTGAGGTGGCCATGAACTGTCATTCTGATATGGAGGTGTGAGCCTGTATGTTTGTTTGATCTTATAGTCTGTTTTATATTCTGAAACAAGGGGCTGCAAAAGAAAATCAAGAGGATATAATGCTTTATTTGGTTGGTGGATTTGAAACTTTGAGTTTCAATAGAATATTAATACTTGATGTAATTTTACTCTTCTAGTCGTTTTATAGACTTCCTAGTTTTCTTTTATATCACGTTGCAGAAAGAGTATTACTCTTATCATCTCACCTATATTTCTATCCTCTTATTTATTTATTTTTTCAAAATTTTGGACCTTTCATTGTAATTTAAAGGGAAAAAAATATCACAAATATTTATTTTCAGAGCTGGATGGAAATTAGAATGCCTCTTGCTCGGGATGCAAAATTTGACATGAATATGCAGTGCCTATCTCTGCTTTTGAAATGCCTGAAGATTATGGAAAATGCAACGTTTCTAAGTAAAGATAATCAGGTACGTTGAATGTTTTTTAGACTCGAGTTCCCATCTTGTTAGAATTTCGTTCCTCCAACTTCTTTGTAGATAAAATGCTGCTTTCTTAACTTGACATGTGAAAAAGCAAAAAATAAATTCATATTTACACTTTTGTGATAGAACCATTTGCTTGGGATGAAGCGAAGGACTTCAACAGGAAGCCCCTTATCCTTCACAGAACTTGTTTTGGCTGTCATTAAGACTCTCTCAGGTAGCTAAGGAATCTCAGAGCTAAGTTAGTCTTTAACTTTTTATGGTATGACACATTTCGCTATTCTGTGTTATTTACTTCTTGCATTGATTTTCAGATCTTTATGTATTCAAAACTTCCGCGGTGGCGTCCACTGATGAAAAGCCTTCTGCTCCGTTTGATGGGACTTCATATTATTTTGAATTTGATTTCCAAGGTACAACTTCTCTTCCCTGACCCTCTTATGTGTATCTTCAGATTCTTACAGTAATTTTTGTAGAAAGTAGAAACAGTACTGGATTAAGAAGTTAGGAAGCAGCATTTATAGAATGGGCAATCCCAGTAGTACTTGTAATTTTGTTACTGCTCTCAAATTCGTTACTATGACAAAGCCAGACTTATGAGCTGATTTCCTTGCACATATTTTCAGGAGACGTCAATGGGAAAATTTTTAGTGATTCCTTTAAAAGTAATTCAGAGAAGAGCTTTACTAAATTGCGGAACGGCGAAATTGTGTCTGCCACACGGTTAGAGTGTTCTAGTTCTGAAACTACCAGCACCTCTATGACTGATGGCTATTCGTTAAAGACGAGACGTAGATCTTCTGCATCTAGCTCATGCAGTGGAATGTCAAGGAGTTTATCTGGTAGTAATGCAACTAAGAATAGTTCAATGAAGAATGTTGATATTGTGCTTTTAGACGATAGCCAAGATCCGTTTGCGTTCGATGAAGATGATTTGGAGCCTTCTAAGTGGGAAGTGCTGTCTGGAAAGCAAAACACATCGAGGACTAAAAGAATTGGACTGAAGGACAGAGAACCCGATTATGGGTTTCAGTCTCGAATTAAAATGAGCCAGGAAGAAACAAGTAGTGGAGAAAATAATCACTCGCATGAAGCTTCCTGTTCAACTTCTGTTGATGAAGGGCGCTCCAGCCTTTTAGCTGACTGTCTTCTTACTGCTGTCAAAGTAAGCCTTTAATCACATACTTTACATTTTGGAATCTTCGGCATCTGCAGATTTGTTTCACCTCTCTTTATTATCTTCTATGCAATGGAGAGAATATAGTGTATGGAGGCATTATTGGTATTTGGTAGTTTAAATTAATGCATTCTTCTATATCTTCATATTGCAAAACATCATAAAAACGCAGCTTTCTTACCTCTGCACCGTATAGGCTTCCTTAGTTTACTCTTGAACTGCTTCAGTGGTCTAACCGTAGCTCTCATCTGAGACTTCTCTCTTTTTTTCTTTGTTTTTTTTTTTAATATGTTATGTGTATGAACTGCGTTTTGGTTCCTTCTCACAAAGTGGTTTTCATCCAATTTCACAAGTTACATTTTGTGTTGAGAGATGGACGAAAACAGTATATATGTAAAATAATGCTCATGTGGCTTCTTGGCAGGCCTTAATGAATGTAACAAACGACAATCCTGTTGGCTGTCAGCAAATTGCTGCCTGTGGAGGATTAGAGACCATGTCTTCCTTGATTGCTTTGCACTTTCCTTCATTCAGCTCGTCTCCACCATCCTTTCTTGATGTTGATAATCAGAGTGATAGACCTCTAACTGATCACGAACTCGATTTTCTCGTCGCTATTTTGGGCCTCCTTGTGAACTTGGTCGAGAAGGATGGTGAAAACAGGTTAATTTTACTTCAGCTTATTGCTGCTGCTTATGTATATTGTTCTTGAGGCTGTTATACATTGAATGATAACTTATTTTTTGCTATTTCTTCGGTCATTGGAAGTTGTTGCTCCCTTCTGATTATTGTTTGCGCACACAAACACACATACCACACAGGTGTAGTTGCTGGTGTTTGGAATTGTCATGTTCCTATCGACAGATACTTATAGTTCCATTTATTGCAGATCACGGCTTGCATCCGCCAGTGTCCCATTGCATAAGTCCAATTTTTACTCCGAATTTTGTGGTAAGGCGAGCAGAAAGGATGTAATTCCACTACTCTGTTCCATCTTTTTGGCCAACCAAGGAGCAGGTGAGGCGGTCCATGAAGGAAAAGTTCAGCCATGGGTGAGTAATGTCTCTCCTTTGTCTTCTTTTCTTGTTACTACTTTATACTATTTTTACAGTGAACCAATGCAAAGAATGAAAAGACAGAAAGAAAATCGAGTTCTTTTTATAATTGGCAGTAGAAACAACAACAACAACAACAACAACAACAACAATAACAACAAGCCTTAATCCCAACTTAATTGGGGTTGGCTATATGGATTTCACTTTTTCACGCAGTTCTGTTCGAAATTAGACTTTCCTGAAGGTCTAGAACTAGAATGTCTTTCCTAACTACTTCGTTCCATGTAATTCTTGGTCTACCCCTCTCTCTCCTAGTATTAGGTATAAGAATGTCCTCCTAAGCACGAACTGGTGCTTCTAGCGGTCTATGTTGGACATGCCCGTACCATCTCAAGCGGCCTTCGCGCACCTTATCTTCTATTGGTGCTACACCTACTTCACTACGAATAACTTCATTCCTTATGCGATCCATTCTCGTATGGTCACTCATACATCTTAACATACGCATTTCTGCCACATTCATCTTAGATATATGTTGTCTCTTAATGGCCCAACATTCACTACCATATAATATAGCTGGGCGGATTGTAGTCCTATAGAACTTTCTTTTCAACTTAATAAGCATCTTGCCATCACATAAAACTTCCGTAACATTCTTCTACTTAACCCACCCTGCCTTAATCCTATGTTGAATATCCTCTTCTATATCTCCTTCGTACTGCACTATAGACCATAATTGGCAGTAGAAACATTGTTTAAAAATCTTGCTTACTTGGCACATGTGAAGATCTACTTAATGAGCCTTCATTGATGTTTCTCTATCCTGAATACCTTGAAATATTGCCCTATTGATGGGTTGATATGTTATGTCGGTCTCTATTTACACAGTATACCTCCCAGACACTGAGACCTTCACGTTTTATTATTGATATAAATCTCGTCTTGTGAAAACTTAAAGCAGAAAGGAAACTTGTTTTAGATTGTCTCATTCTCATGTTGTTGCATTTCTGCAGGATGATGAAGCAGCCGTGCTACAAGGAGAAAAAGAAGCTGAGAAAATGATACTAGAAGCTTACGCCGCTTTGCTTCTAGCATTCCTTTCGACTGAAAGGTTTGCATTCCCTTCTTTTCTTTCTCTCTCTCTTAGTTCCTTTTATACATATTCTGAAAGTGAGATCTGTTTGCTGATCTACAGCAAGAGCATACGTGATGCTATTGCTGACTGTCTTCCCGATCGCAACTTGGTAATTCTAGTACCCGTGTTGGACAGATTTGTGGTAAGTGCTTGTCTTTGATTTACATTTACTGATGTTGAAGAAACCAGGTAACTTCTATATACTGAGTCAGGTTTCCTTTTTTTTTTTTCCAGGCATTTCATTTGTCATTGAACATGATCACCCCGGAGACTCATAAAGCTGTTAGCGAAGTTATTGAATCATGTAGGGGGGGAGGATGAGACTTCGACGGACCACCGGAAACCTGTACAGACTCGGTCTTTCATTCCAAATACAACTTTTTAGTTGTTGCACACTACATAACCGGATATTTGTGTATGTTGTTTCACACCCCCTATCAAACTGACCACAGCCCTTTGTCAAGTCTGGTTCACATTGGTCTTTTTTTTTTTAGCCTCCTTTTTGTTCTTTGCTATGTCATTCTTTTGTAGGTTCCTTTCACATCGTTTTGGTGCGTAGAGATGATTGTATACGAATCTGATAGCAAAATGAATATATTTTACTTTTTGTTTTTTGGGTCAATGTCGAATGTTATTTCTCCTTGTTATTTCTCCTTTGCCCCCCTTTAAGCATGTTACTTGTCTTCTTCTCATTCGTTGAAGGGTCTTCTCCACATTCAAATCTCTTGGCACAATGAGGCCAAATTATGTATGCTTTACAACTAACTTTTTGCAAACAAGAGCAAAAAAAGCTTAACATGCAAACGCCACTCATTTGATGAATCAAAAGCATAGGAGAATTCAATAGTCAGACGTTATATTGCAGAAGAAGCATATGAAAAATCCTCAACAGATACATTGTTGTTAATGTTATACATGTTCATTTGATTGAGTGGAGACAAGTTCAGACTTGTTCATTAAGGAAGGTGTTGATAAGTGCTCTGGAAATTGCTCTTGCATGAAATGAGTTCCATTAGACAAGAACTTCACCTTTAAATCAGGCACGTACTTCTTCATTTTCTCACTCCTTACGTAGTCCTCAATCCCTGGAAATTTCAGGAAAAAGTCCTTTTCTCCCATGGCATCACAGGGACTTCAACAGAAACATATTTTCAGCATTTCCAAAATAGTTTGATCAAAAATGAAAATTCTGTTGTAGGCAAAGAGAGAAACACTAGCGGTGAGACACAATTATAAACCGTCAGATCACATCAAAATTACATCTGATTAACGAAAATATAATTTGTTCAATAAAACTTGATGAAAATCTAACAGTTTAGAATTGTGTTGAATTCTTCTTTACATAAGCTTTTGAAGTCAATTATGACTCTCTTTTAAGGAACTTGCATGGGAGAATCAAATCCAGATTTTTGGTACAATGTTGTATATGCTGCAAGATCTTCTTCAGTGAACCAAAGGAGGTAGAGACCTAGTAGTTGAGTCCACCAAATCCATAATCTCTTTGCCCTTATCTGCAATGGGAATTTCACTTCTAGAGAAGAGAATGTATATGTTACGGCCAAAATCAGCCTCAGCTCGTCCAGGTTCCTAACCCATAAGCAAAATAGTGTCAAATCCCAACACCCCTTTTCTTGTCAAAGTAAAACACCAAGAAAAAAGCTTGTGAAATTAGCACTTTTGTTCACAAAGTTTACCTTCCATCTGAAAATGTAGAAACCTTCAGGCAAGTCCTTGTAGCGTTGAGGATCAGGAGGGAAGAATGGAACGCCTAAAGATCTAACTCCACAAACTCTGGTGGGATGAATAAGGCAAAACAGATAAACTGGCCACGACCCAAAATCTTTTCCCACTAGAAAAGCCTTGTTTCATTCAAACCCATCAATTAGTATTCACAAAAAACTTTTTGTATATTCTCTTATTTTCAACTATGTGTACCTTTTCAATGTTAAAAAACACAAGGATAGAGAGGGTGTCGTTTACAAAGTCATTTAAGGACGCTTTGTCAAGTTGTGGGTGAGGGTCGGATACGCCATTACCCCTTAAATCCGGTGCAATTGCTTGGTACCCAGCATTGGCCACACCAATCATTTGGTGTCTCAATGAGTACCATATCTCTCGTAATCCGTGCAGAAATACCACCGCAGTAGAGCTTGCGGAGGAAAGAAAAGTATTCATTGATTAGAGTTTTTAATTCGATTTAAAATGTGACTTTATGTGATAATTTTTTACTGCAGTAAAAAAATTAAACGTGATTATTTCTGAAAATTTTTTATTGTAGCAAAACTCGAATCGGTAAAATGAATGAAACCCAAGTGTACAACTTATGGGGAACAAATAGAACTAAATCTAAATAAAAAAAGTTATGGCAATAGATTCTCTCACGAAATTTTTAGAATCAAAACTATTGACTCAAATGCGAAATTTTAAGAATCAAAACTATTGACTCAAACGCGTGAATTAAACGGATAGAGAAAATACCAGTTCCTATCTCTGCAATGTGAAGCTTCACTCCTCTGGCTTTAATGTACTTGTATTTGATCCATTAGAGAGAAACTAGAAAGAGAGTGTTAGTTTACCAATCGATCACAAAAGCTTAAGCTGTTAGGAGGTGAGTTAATAATAATTTTATACTTTAACACTCTTCCTCACGTGTGGGCTGAACAATGAGCAATCGCATGAATAAATTAATTAGAAAGCCCAAACACGTGAATATTTAAATACGCGATATAATTTTATATTTTAACACTCCTCACGTTTTTCACATTGTCGTCATTTATTTTCTTATTTTTTTTAATGGGGACGTTATCGTCATTTGGTTCGTCAGTTTTCTTATTGTTTTCACATTTTTCTCATCCTAGTTTATTGTTGCTTTTCCTTTTGTTGCCGTTCCATTATTCTCACCGTTTTTTTAACTTTGTTGTAGTTTGTTCTTTTCTTTTTTTTTTTTTTTTTGGATTGTTGTAGTTTGTTTTTAACTATCGTTTATTCCTATTGTCGTTTTTCATTTCATTGTCGTAGTTTTATTTCCTTGCTTGTCGTTTCCATGCCATTATCATTTTTTATTTTGTTGTCGTTTTTTTCCCTGGCCGTTTCGATTGTAACTTTGTTGTCATCTGTTCTATATTGTTGCCGTCGTTTGGACTTGATGGACGAACAAAAGTGCCTACATCCTTGAAGCTCCCCATTACATGCAGCCGTTAGTTATGTACTACTCAAATCCATTATCCATGGGTGGACAGATAGAACTCTACATCTAATCAACACCCCCTAGGCATATCTGCCTCTTACACAAACATCAACAAATAAACAAACATCACTAAAAGCTACAGCTAAGCTGACAGTTTTAGAGAATCACTAACTGTATTTACTGTTTGACACGTAGATTCTATTAACATAATATATTATTGCTCAAACAGAAAACGAGTTCACATGCAGAGAGTGACAGAAAAAGTGACATTAGCATTTCTCGACAATTTTGATATTTATGCATTCTTATTGATACACAAAGGGTCCCCTTTGGTTTAATATTTGAAGGCATAAATCACATGCCACACAACATAAGCAGACAATTTTTATCCTTGACTTTGGCTATGGAATACATTATACGTATATATTCCCAGGACAGCTAAAAACGTTATTTAAGGTTAGGCAATCAGACGTGCTTAGCAAGGAAGTTGAGGATCAGCTGGTTGATCTCCTCAGGTGATTGCTCCTGCACAAAATGTGTTCCTTCTGGCAAAATCACAATATCCAATTTGGGGACAAGCTCTTTCACCTTTCCACTGTTTATGTAATCCTCCATCCCCGGAAACTTGTACACATAATCTTTGCCTCCCATTATGAAAAGTGCAGGGTGATTGACTACAGGATCTGTTATGTTCAAGTCTTCACCACAAGATCTGTCCCACACCAAATTAAGGAAAATATCATTAGTAAGAACCCAGCTCTTTAGACTGTTTCACACACAAAAGTTCCCTTCTCACCATTGCATTCTACTAAGTAAAGAAAGGAGTTAACCTATAAGGAATTTGCAACGCGGTTCTAAACCCCGATTTCTCATACAAAGCTCCATAGTTTGTGAGATCTTCCTCGGTGAACCAAGGTGGGAGAGGAGTAGAGGGGTCAACCAAGTCCATGATCTCTTGGTTCTCTGCTGCTATTGGCACTTCACTCTTTGAGAAGAGGATGTAAACGTTCCGCACAACTGTTTTGGCGTTGAAACGGCCAAAATCAGCTTCAGCCCGTCCAGGTTCCTAGACAATTAGGAAATAAAAAACCAATGTTCACCCGCCTTCTATCAGTTTAACCTTTATGGAATAATTCGAAATCTAAGATGGTACCAGAGCACATAGTCCAAAGTTCAAAGACATGCAAGGAAATTAAACACTTGAAACGCCTTACCCGCCATCTTGAAATGTAGAAACCTTCAGGCAGGGACTTGTGGTATGCAGAGGGAACTAAAGGAGTGTGAGGCACTCCCATGGTGATAATTCCTATAACTCTCTCTGGGTGTAGAAGCCCCAGTACGTAAGCTGGTATCGCTCCAAAGTCTTTTCCGATCAGGAACACCTATTGGCATATATAACAGATTACCATGCCAACGCCACAATGGTAAATTAAGTAGAGGCCGATTCTTGTGCAGTTATTTTCTTCTTTGTGACTTTTGATTCCCTATGACTGTAAAGTAAAGACCTTCTTTACAAATGGAATTTAATCTTTTTTATTCAATTATTTAAAAATGGTTTGTTTTACACTTCTGTAACTTTGGTTGAATGTTGAAAAGGAAATCTAGTTTTCAATCAGACGCAGTCACTAGAGGTGTTGATTGTAATAATATTATATGCACAAAATGTTAAGGATGTCAAGTTAATAGAATTGAAAGCGTATAAAAATAGACTCATAGAGTGGTGGATGACTTGAAAAAACTGGAGGATAAATAACTTGAATTGGAAAATAAATAAGAGGACTGGATGAACTAATAAAGATATCTCACAGAGAAAAAAAAAAAAAAAAAAAAAAAAAAAAAAAAAAAAGATATCAAAATGAGACCATAGTAACTCATAGAAAACAAAGAAGAAACCAACGGAAACACAACCATAAAGCCACCAAGTAGAAAGAAGAAAAACACCACGAAGCTAAAAAAACAAAAAAACAAAAACTGGTTTTATTGGTACACCAAAAATCCTAGTTAATTACTTAATTAAAACAAACACCCATGTTTTCTAACCGTATATTAAGGAAATAAAAATTGAAAATAAAAAAAGAAGAGAGTGGAGTAATTGTGAAAGTTTCGATTTTGAAGAGGTCCCAGTTTTGGCAGTAACCTTAGGAATAGCGAGTGCGTTTAATATTCCAATAATATCGTTCACGAAATCAGACAGGGAAGCCTTCTCGGGTTGGGGAGGCGGGTCGGACAGTCCGTACCCTCTGTAATCGGACGCAATCGCACGGAACCCGGCCTTGGCCAGAGCAATCATCTGGTGCCGCCACGAGTACCATATCTCCGGGAACCCGTGCAGGAATACGACGACGTTTGGACCTGAAATAGATGAAGTCATCATTGAGACGACAGTTGAGCACTGTGCCAAGAGAGAAGGTGTATTGGTTTGGAAGTGGGGAGGCGAGCAGAGGATTCTTACCCGTTCCGATCTCAGCTACGTGAAGCTTTAGTCCTTCAACTTCCACATACTTGTGCTGTATTTGATCCATCGCCAGACACCCCCCCTTTTTTTTTTGGCTAGACAATGGCTTTTTTTGGGTTTTTTTTTGTTTTTTTTTTTTTTTTTTTTTTTGCTTTTCTTTTTCTACTGATTTGTTTGGTTAATATGTCCAGTTCGCGTAAGCAGAAGTTTCGCAATCATATTCACGTCTGGAAATTACTACGATAACGTTTAGTTTATGTATTCAAAATTATAATTTATAATTATTTTTGTTTTAGGTATATTTTTTTAAAAAAAAACACTATAAAAAATCATGAATCATGATTCAGAATCATGAACGAATATAAAAAACAAACGTCTCCTAACTTTACATGATATTTATAGTAATAAACACTTCTATAATTTATTAATGCGTATCATGCAATAGCAAAAGTGTCAATTTTCGTATGATTCCATACCTAAAAAGACAAGAACATGTACCTAATCGGTTTGACATCTTTCAATCGTGACTTTAAAATATGCAGCTTATATTTTACTAGTTACTACTACATTTTCAAAATTGCTTTAGTATTTTTGTCGTTGGTAGCTCACTCACTAATATAAGATTAAAATAGAGTATGATTTTTTTTCTCTAAACAAAACGTGACAACTTAATAAAATCTAATGAAAATCTGACACTAAAAGTCTTAAATACTATACCCTATTAGTAATGTATTTTCTTACCTTATTAAAACATTCTCATAATTTTTAAATAGAATTTAAATAAAGTATCCATTTATTAGCAAAACCGTTACTATTCAATTTCCACCCTCAATTTATAGGGTTTTAAAAGAAAATTTTAAATATTTGACATAATTTTACAAGTCATGCTAAAATATAGTAAAAAAAAAAAAATTTAATATCATTATATTTCAGTTTTACTCTTGTTTTACTTTGGATCAAATTATCATGGGAAATTGTATTGAATAGGTTAGCTTTTATTACTTTAAATGTAAATATCTGATATACCAATTAATAGAAGATAACAATAAAATAATTACTAAAAAAATTATACTATTCGTGAAATATTCTGAAATATAACTCTTTGGATGAAATCATTTTGGGCCCAGTAGCCAGTCAAGATAAGTTGGGTCATAGTTCGGCCCAAGCTCGTATTTTATTGGAGTAATTACTTACACGTTGTTCACGTCGGTGGTGAGTGAGTTCTTCCTGAAATCGCATCCGAATTTCGAAATCCAGCATTGTACTTTCCTCAAGTAGCCGAACAAATCTCTTTGAGAGTTTCCACTATTTATTTACTTTCATCCCAAATCCATCTTCTACGAATCGCATTTGACTCGGAAAGAATCTTCCGCTCAAAGGTAATGCCTTCGCAACCTTTTACACATATTCCCAAATCTTCTTCTTCTTCTTCTTCTTCAAGTATCTAGGGTTTCAAATCTCAAATTGATCAAAATTTTTTTTCCTTAGCAATTCATCGGATTTTCTGAGGGTTTTCATCGTTTTTAGTTTTTGCCCTACATCGAATCGGTAATCTTTATCATATTTTGCAAGTTTTTTGAGGCTTTTTTGTGCATTTGAGTACGAGATTATCGGAAATTTGGTTTAGGTAGTTGTATTTTTGATTAAGCGTTTGTGTGAAAGTTTGATTTTTTTTTTGTTTGTTTGTTATTTTTCTCGGTTTATTTTGGGTTCTCTTGGGCTGAGAAATTGGAGATATATGTTGGTTGGAGTTTGTAGTTTTATAAGGGGATTGAGAATATCGGACAAAGCAGTAATGTCTATTGAGCAAACTTTCTCGAATGTTGGAGTGTTTGGGTAAATGAATTTCCGTCAGTAAACTATAATATTGATAGGTTTTCAATCGCAATTGGGGTTGGAGAATTGTGCTTTGTTGTAAAGAAAAAAGATTGCACCTCTAATTCTATTTACGTGCTGAATTTATAACTGATCTGATTTTTTGTATTCTTTGTGTGGGTCAAAACTTGAGCTAGTTTAGTTAACCAATTTGTGGGTATTGAGCAGAGATAGTAAGAGTGAAGAATAAGGTGAGGTAAGTAATGGCAGAGTTAGAAAATTTGCTGCTGGAGGCAGCAGGGAGAACCAGGTCAGCAGGGAGAAACCGGCATTCAATTCCACCATCTAGAAGACGACGTGAGGGTTCATACTCCGATGGGGGAAGTGACTCTAGAGACGATGACTCCGATGATGATCGCGGTTATGCAAATAGGAAGCCCTCTGGATCTCAAGTTCCTTTGAAGAAGAGGTTGGACCCTACTGAAATGGATGATGACCAGGGCAGTGAGGAGGAAGGTGATGATGATCGTGGTTCTGATCGCGAGGGTGACAGTGAATCGGATGTCGGTAGTGATCTTTACAAGGATGATGATGATCGGAGAAAGCTTGCAGAGATGACTGAACTTCAAAGAGAGATGATTTTGTTGGATAGAGCATCTAAGAAAGAGGATAAGAATTTAAAGGAGAAGTTGAGACCAAAGTGGGACAACAAAGGGAAGGCCACACAGTCTAGAAAGGAGACTCCTCTTCCATCATCTCGAGTACGCTCATCTGCTAGATCTGCCGACAGGGCAGCTGCCAAGGATGATGCACTGAATGAATTACGAGCCAAACGTTTGAAGCAGCAAGACCCAGAGGCTCACGGTAAATTACGAGATGCTTCCAGAGGTGGTTCTGGCAGTCGTAATTTATTGCATAACAAGAGGAAATCATATACTGCAACAAGTCTGAGTAGTTCTAGTCAGAGTGATAGTGAAAGTGAGTCTCAAAGTGAAGATGAAGGGTCTACCGGAGATGGTGGAATGATAGACAGTGATGATGAAAGGGGGATTCCAGGGTCTGAGGGGCTTACATTCGATGATATAAAAGAAGTTACTGTCCGGAGATCAAAACTTGCAAAGTGGCTTATGGAACCGTTCTTTGAAGAATTAATTGTGGGTTGCTTTGTGAGGGTTGGTATTGGGAGGTCAAAGTCTGGGCCTATCTACAGGCTCTGCATGGTTCGGAATGTTGACGCATCAGAACCTGATCGACAGTACAAACTAGATAATAAAATCACCCATAAGTATCTGAATGTTGTTTGGGGCAATGAAAATTCTGCTGCCAGGTGGCAGATGGCAATGGTTTCCGACTCTGTACCAAATGAGGAGGAGTTCAAACAGTGGGTCAGGGAGGTGGAGCGAAGTGGTGGTCGGATGCCAACCAAACATGATATTTTGGATAAGAAGGAATCTATTAAAAAAATCAATACTTTTGTCTACTCAGCAGCTACCGTGAAGCAAATGTTACAGGAGAAAAAGTCTGCTTCAGCAAGGCCATTAAACATTGCACTTGAGAAGGACCGACTGAGGAGGGAGTTGGAAGTTGCACAAAGCAAGAATGATGAGGTGGAAGTGGATAGGATCAAGACAAGGCTACAGGAATTAGAAGCATCCCGAAAGGCAAAGCAGACTGATGCTAAGGCTATTAGGTTGGCTGAGATGAACAGAAAGAACAGGGTTGAGAATTTCAAAAATGCATCTGAACTAAAACCTGTGAATACGGGTCTGAAAGCTGGGGAGGCTGGTTATGATCCATTTTCAAGAAGATGGACTAGGTCAAGAAATTATTATGTTGGAAAGCCGGGTGAGGTGAAAGAGGATTCGGGGGCAAATGCTGGAAATAATGGTGCGTCCACGGATGCAGAAAATAATGGGAGACACGGTATTGTAGCAGCAGAGGCTGGAATAGCTGCTACTGAGGCTGCCTTAGAAGCTGCAGCAGATGCTGGGAAGTTGGTTGATACAAATGCACCCGTGGATCAAGGGACTGTGTCGAATATGCTACACAATTTCGAGCTGCCAATCTCATTGTCTGTGCTTCAAAAGTTTGGTGGACCACAGGGAGCTCAGGCAGGATTCATGGCGAGAAAACAACGAATAGAAGCTACGGTAGGATGTCGAGTCCCAGAGAACGATGGGAGGAGGCATGCGCTTACATTGTCAGTTGGCGACTACAAAAGAAGAAGAGGGCTTCTTTGAAAGGAGGTTTTGTCAAGTGCCAAGGAGCAATATCGCAAAGTCTGGGACTAAAGCTGCAACATTATTGTGTCCTCATACGAGTTCTCACGCTTTATGAGGTAGTGGATTATCAATTATTGTTTGGCGTTTCTGGAATTTCAGCCATCTGATGTGTCAGTACTGAGACATACTAGACTTGTATCTTAAAGCAATTTATTATTATTCAGTTGGACTTGAGAGAGCACAATAAATGCAGCTTTTCGGATTTGATGTATGAATAAGATTAATGCCAGCTTGTGAAGTGCTCTTTTGTAGTGTATTTTATCCCCTTTTTACGGGCTACTACATCTTTAGTTTTTTTACAAAACTTTGTGGGTATATTTTGAATAATTTGTGAGCATTCACAGTTTACTATTAGTTTTCTTTCATTTTCATGAGTAGTGTTTTTGTATCAGTTTTGCCTTTCACCTATCACAATTAAACGAGGTTGTCTTTTAGCAAAACTAATCCCAAGTTCGTTACTTGTTTTTACTCTTACTTTTGTAGTAAATTTCTAGTTTTATCTGTGTTTTGCAATTAGGGAATTGGGAGTTCGAAATTGGCAAAGAAATGGAGCTTGTTTGGTAATCTTGCCATCGTAATAAATGTGAGAACGATCGGCAGCTGAGGAAGTTAAAAATATATGCCACTCATACAGCGTTTGGTTTGCGGCTTCAAGTCGAATCAAATTTTATGAGAAAATTCATTGGCAAGAACTATTTAGATTTATATTTTTTATAAGAGAAAATATTGTAACAGAGAAAATTCATTGGCAAGAACTATTTAGATTTATATTTTTTATAAGAGAAAATATTGTAACAGAATTAGAATTATAAGTTTAAACATGTAAAACTAAACAGGCCCTTTATAATTGATCTAAGGATGGTATCGTACAGTGTCCTTGCGTTGTGACTTTCGGTGGAAAATGAGAATAGTAAAATGAAAGTTAAATGAAAGGAAGGAACAGAAGACGGAGAGTCTTTTCATTTTATATATATTCGGCGTACATATAATGGAGTCATTTTGTTACTCTAAACAACATCTTCAATTCTTTTGCTCTAAGAGCTTTTTATAGTAGGGTATCTTTACCAGTAATGTATATTTCTAAATATTTAATCCTACCAAAATTACATATGTAAACCAAAATACAAATCTAAAGGTATTTATGAGTTCTCCTTCTTTTTAAAAAAAATACACTAGTCAGAACACAAGCTGAAGACATCCTTTAGAATAATGGTTATATAAATTGTTAGAAAAAAAAAAAAGAAATAAAGGAAAAAAAATTAAAAACACACACACACAAGTAAAAGATAACAAAAAAAACACATGTATGAAACGTTTGAGAGTTTCGGCTGAAATTCATTTGGATTTATTTTGCAATATTTTATGGGTAGTATATACAGATATAGATATAGACTAGCGTAGAGATCTCATATTAATCATAGGATCCAAATGTTGTAGGAAAACAAAACCTGATCCGGTGGTTCGGAGAAGTACATTGGTGGCTTTACAATCAAACATCAGTTAGCAACGGGCTCGGTTTACCATGGCTTGACTAAATCTTTCCTAGTAGCTTGAGCCCATTTAAGAAAGTTTAGGCTTGTTCTTTTAGAGTTTAACTTGAGTATAATTTTTTAGTTGAATTTGAGTTTTAATTTGAGTTTGTGTTTGGTTATGTATGATCTTTATTTCTCAAATTTTTGTGGTTTTTATTTCTTTTTGGGTTCGATTGAGAGTGAATGTATGATGAAATGAAGAGTTGGTAAAATATTTTTTTTTTCTTAGAAATCATGTGAGATCCATGAGTTGTGATACATGCCTAGGGTGATTTGAGCCTAAAAATTCTAATCTCATCCACCTTTTACCCTAGCAATACATTACAACCCTCAAAAGTCCTTTTGATCTTCAATGATAAGTGAACCTTTATTAGTGGAGAGTGACACGAAAAATGGGCCTATGGTTGTTCTTATTAAGATATCACTCATAGTCTCCTTGGCACATAGGTCTATTTAGATTTTATTTGGCTGATTGAGATTGATTGTGCACACTTACACTTTGAGAGTCTTGAGTGGAGTGAAATTGATGCTTGATGTTGAAATTCTAGATAATCTCAGTGTTGACTTGATACAAAACTCACATTTTTTTTTTCCGTTTGTGTCTTAGTACTTGATTTAGTAAAAAAATTAAAAGCACTTCTTATTATAGAAAGTAATGTAATAAAAAGTTTTTCATAAGCATTATCTTCATAAGCACTAAGGAGATGTTTTGTTCTAAAAGTACTTAAAAAAGTTAAAAAGACTTTAAAATTAGTCATCCAAACAAATTTAAAAGCGGTTTTTGAATTAAATAAACTAAAAACAAACTTTTTTTTTAGTCAATCCGTTAAAGCTTATTTTCCAATCGTAAGGTACATGACAATAAGCTTCTTAATTATACAATTAATTTACAAATCACGAGCCATATGCTCTTTTATTAATTCTTCGTAAACATAACAGAAAGAATCTTATTTTTATGATCTGTGTGTGTTGTGTAAAGCTCTTTTCATCACTTTGGGGCTTCTCGATCGTCTCCATCACATGCTGATCAACAAAAGTCACTCTTTCATAGTTTTATTTTCTTCCATATATTTTCAATTGATTATTAATATAGGGTTGTTTTAATTTAGGGACTTTTTGTGTTAGATTCAATAAAAATGAATTATCGATAATTTATTACTTTTCAGTCGTTAGATATGTATCATAATCTGTTTGTTATGCATTTTTTTCAATCTAATTTAATTTTGACAAAATTCAACGATCATAAACTGAGACTGTCAGTATGACAGACTACTGCAAAAATTCTCTTAAACTTAACGGAAATAGTAGAAAATAGGCTAATATGAAAAGTTTAAGAAAGTATATAGGCTAACTTTTAGTTATAGAAATTAACAGGCCATAACTTGTCAAGTTATGGTTCATAACTAGATAAATTATGGACAAACTTGTCAAGTTATGGTTCATAGTCAGACAAGTTATTGACAAAAATCGTGAATTATGGACAATAACTTGTCAAGTTATGGTTCATAACCAGACAAGTTATGGACGAAAATAATAATTTGGTATATTTATTAACTTGTATAAACTATTGGCCTATTAATTTTAATTCATCTCAAGTCTTGACCTATTTCCCTATTTCTCCCTAAACTTAATCTTACACCCATTTCAAGCCCATTTAATTAGATTTTAAAGGGAAGCTGAGTATAGTACTAGATGCGTCATAATCTAAACTTTTGTTTTATTCACTTATTTCCTCTTTCTCCCTAAACTTAATCTTACACCCATTTCAAGCCATTTAATTAGATTTTAAAGGGAAGCTGAGTATAGTACTAGATGCGTCATAATCTTCCGTTTAGTTCGCTGATTCGAGTTTTTAATTCGAGTTGAGATGTGATTTTATGTGAGAGCTTTTTACTGTAGCAAAAAAGTTAGATGTGATTGTTTGTGAGAGCTTTTTATTGTAGCAAAACTCGAATTCTAAACTCGAATAAGCGAAATGAACGGGGCCTAAACTTTTGTTTTATTCACTTATTTTGTTCAATATTGTTTTCGTTTAGTTCATATTCCATTTTAATTAAGAAGAAATAATGTTTGATTATCTTTGGCATAAAACAGTCACAAACTTTGCTTGCCGTCTTGTTTAATGTGTGCATTAATCATAGTTGCACGTACTAAGCACGAAACCGCATTTTTTTAATGGAAAAATAAGGTGAGATTACAGAACAAGCACCTCGTAAGAACCATCAAGATTTTTTGATGTTTTATATTCATTAAATAACTTGAACAAACAAGTTACACATATTTTGCGGAGTCTATTTGGTACAAAATAAATAAATTACTGATAATTTTATATTTTTTAGTCTTTAAATTTATATAAAAAAATATTTATTTTTAATATTTTATTAATTTAATGTGATTTTAATCAGATTTAATGATATAAACTGAAACTATTAGTAGAGATGCCAATTAAAAAAAAAACCCTTGTATTTTTTTATGCATTTATGATTTATGTCTCTCTCTTCACATCAATGCTTGCAGGGCTGGCTCATGGGTGAGACATTTTACCCAAGGCCCTGTTAAATTGAATATACCTGTTTATGAATATTACATATTATATTTAAAAATATTTTACTTAATAGCATTGGCTCGTATATTTTAACAATAAATATCTATTAGTTGTTAATAATATGCCTCTTTTAGTTTTTAAAAAAAATTATTAATAAGGCGTTACTTTTGATCTTTTTTTTTCTTATAATTAAAAGAAAAAATCAATTTGCTTTTTTACTTTTAAATAATAATAAAAAAACGTTTTAAAAAATGCACATTGCCTATTTTTGTGTGGAATTCATCTCTATATTAGGTATTTATATATAGACTTAGCATTATCGTCCGTAAAATTTGACTGTGATACTATATATTAAATAAAATTCGCCTCCAAAAGATAGCTCAAAAAGAAAATGCGTAAACCAATATAAATATCCCAATAACTCAATAACGTAGTTATAAGACAAATTCACAACTTAATAGCCGGTTTGGTTCATAGATTAAAATCATAAAATTAGAATTATTTTTTATTTATATGTATTTTTTATGAGAAAAAATACTGTAATAAATTATAAACCATGATTCGAATCAGAGAACAAATTCTCTAATTAAACGGGCTCTGAGTCTTGAGCGCTTAATGCTTGAGATTTGGAACTTGAAGCTAGCCAATGAGTGGGGCCCGTAGGTAAATCATTTGATCAGATTGGAGATTCCAATGATTTTACATTCATTGATCCATATTATACAAATTTTCCGCCGGCACATACATGACATGGGTGTTTAGTAGTAGAGTCTTTGAAGATATCAATCTGGTTAATTAAAAAAAAAACACACGCATGAGACTTCTATGTTTTTGTTTTGTAATCTTGAAAATATATTACTCAAACTCAGTAATTTAGGACTCATGCCTGTGTAAATGAGATATCATATTTTACATGTATTTTTGGAGTAAGATTACAATATTTATGACCCGTTTAGTTCGCTTATTTAAATTTTTAATTTGAATTAAGATGTGACTTTATGTAAGAGTTTTTTACTATAGTAAAAAAGTTACATGTGACTGTTTCTGAGAGCTTTTTACTGTAGCAAAACTCGAATCGGTGAAATGAACGGGCTTTTAGTTTTTTTAGGTGCATGTGCAGTCGAAATCTCAATAATTAGGGTCTGTTTAGTTTGCTAATTTGAATTTTTAATTCGAGTTGAGATGTGACTTTATGTGAGAATTTTTACTGTAACAAAAAAATTAAATATAATTATTTCTGAAAATTTTTTATTATAATAAAACTCAAATCAGTAAAATAAACGGGTAAGACTTAAAAAACAATCTCGATCATTAAATGTTTTAGCTTTTATTAGGTGGCGCGAACAATTTTCTTAAAAGTTAAAAGTCATTTTCTTTCGTCATCGAATGACTGAAAAATAATGGTAGATACGTCGTCTAAGACACATTTACTACGTACTTTTGTGCCAGCCTTTCACTCCTTTTGAAACAGAGGGCGGCACAAGAATTTCTTCCTTCGTTAATATTCTCAAATGTAATGTGATCTTTTTGGTTTCTTTAAATAGAAATAAATGGAATGTAATCTGAATACAATGCGTGGCCTAAGATGGGAAGAGTGTCTGTTTCTTCACTGCTGAAAACCTAAAACCTAATTTGAAAAGTGTTTTTTTTTTTTCCATCAAAAAATAATTTGAAAAAAGTGTTTTGGCATTGAGCTATTTTGAAATAGTAGTATATACTAGTATTTCCTTTAATTCAAAAATAATAGATGTCTGAGCAGAACTTTTGGGGTGATAAGCTAAAAATAAATAAATAAATCATTTGTTCCCTGAAGCAGTACTCACTATATACAAGAGGTATTAATTAATTCATTGGTTTTCACCTAATTGTACTGCAGCCAAAACAAATATCTAAACTTATGCAAAATTAAGAGCACGTTTAGTTTGCTGATTTAAATTTTTAATTTGAGTTAAGATGCGATTTTATATATGATCTTTTTACTGTAACAAAAAATTAAATATGATTATTTTTAAAAAAGTTTTATTGTAGTAAAACTCAAATTCTGTCTCTAGACACTGCAAGAGATCTCTCTCCTCTCTCTTTCTAGACACTGAAAAATACAGTTGTTGGTAATTACACATAATACACCAACAAATTCAAACCGAACCAAGTGTAGATAACTCTGCATCATAGAGGAAAAGCATGGTACTATTCAGAGTCTTAGTGTACTATATCCGTTTGGTTCATGAATTAGAATCATGAAATTAGAATTATGATCGATTTACGTGTATTTTTTATGAGAAAAAATACTGTAACGAACTATGAACCATGATTCGAATCAGAGAACGAATTTTCTAACCAAACGGATTGTAATACTTACCATTTCATCTGCAAGGATTCCATTTATACCATTCTCATAAAGTCGTATAAGCCAGTTTAATCCGGCAAGTTGGTAATCTCTCATCTTTCCTTGTATACCTGCAAAAAGACAAATGGGAAAATCAGCTCTTCCAAAGTTAAGTCACACCTGAGGTCCTGAACTGCAAATCCATTACCATGAATGAGAGAAGCACAGAGACTTGAGGAAAAGAACATGTATACAAGCAGCTGTTTGCGGGAAGGAAGAGGAAGAAGAAGCGGCTGATGTGCAAGCAGCCGGCGGAGCGACTGAGGAGAGAGTGTTTAGTTGTCAGCGGCGGTGGAGAGATAATGGCGGCGGAGGAGGAGGAAGCGCTGCGTTTGGGGATTAATGGAGATGATCGTGATGTTGAAGAGAAATGGATAATTTTTCGATGAGCATTGAAGTCATTTTATTGAAAAAGAGAGTCACGTTATAAGTCACATTACATATTCTATTAAAAATTTGATGAAAAAAATTAAATTGTCACTTTTAAAAAAAATTAGCCATCGTCTTGTCAAAAAAAATTATATATCAAATTGTCACTTTATTAAAGAGATTAAAGAATATTTGTACAAATTACCCAATAAATAACAAAAAAAAAAAAAAAAGAAATTTGATATTTTGAGGTAAGCCAATGCTCTTCTTTATTACGTACGAAGAGTTTACAGCCTGATACTCCAACACTGTACTTGTTTATCTCTCTCTCTCTCTCTTTTCTCTTTCTCTCTCCAAAAACCTGAGTGAAAGGAGGGAACTTTCACTTTAATACATATCTCGATTCTCAAGGTCACAAAACACTAGTAAATCACACCTTCTTTTGTCTTCCGCATTTTGCCGCCACCGCCATTAAAATTGCTTCTTCTTCTTCTCTCCGCAGAAAACCAGATTATTAGAAAACAAAACAAAGAAACTACGTACAGAAACCTTAACCCGACCATGTTTGACTTTGACAATCCAAAACTAATAATTCATCGTCCTATTCTTGTCTTGGTTCATCAATTACAGGACCTAAAAAGATCTCTTTTCGCTTTTTTCTTTTGCGTCCCAACTTCTCTTCTCGCTCTTCTTCTTCTCTTCCTCTTGGCCTACAATGGCGTTTCCGTTTTCTACATCCACGTTCCTTTTCTCGCCAAATTCCCGCCCCAACCAGCCAATTTCTCGCGCCAAAATCCCGTCCTAAAGTTTTCATCATCTTCTTCTTCGTCGAAGCTTTCTTCATCGGTTATGTACGTAGTGAGAGAAGAAAACTCGCCTATGTTCTTGAAAACCCATTTCCCAGCTTTCCAAAATTACAACAACTTTCCGCTCAAACCTACGCCGAAACGCGTCTCCAAGTTTCGAATATCGAAACGGGTGAAGAAAACGAAACGGAAGGTTCGAAGGCTGAGCTCCGAAACGCAGAACCAAAACCAATTCTTCACGGCGAGATTAAGAGAGTTCTTCTTCGGTTCTAGAAAATGCAAGCCTCGCTTCTTCATGACATGGATTTCATCGCTCGATTCTTTCGGAGAAAGAGAGCTCTTCGCCGTCGAAAGCCTTTTCAAGTCCCACCCAAATGCTTGTTTGGCTATAGTCTCAAAAATCATGGATTCCGAGAAGGGAAATGTACTCCTAAAACCGTTTTCGGATTCGGGTTTTAGAGTACTTGCTATTTCTCCGGATTACGATTCTGTTTTAAAAAACACTCCTGCAGAATCATGGTTTAGCCGGTTGAGAAAAGGAAATGTCAATCCTGGCGAGATTTCTCTTTGTCAAAACCTCTCAAATTTACTCAGACTCGCTCTGTTATACAAGTTTGGCGGTATTTACACCGATACCGATATGATCTTTGTGAACAGTTTTTCAAAACTGAGAAACGTGATCGGAGCTCAGACGGTGGATTTAGAAACCGGGCATTGGAGCAGATTAAACAACGCCGTGTTGGTCTTCGACAAGAACCACCCATTACTCTTGATGTTCATCAAAGAATTTGCCCTCACGTTCGATGGGAACAAGTGGGGTCACAATGGTCCTTACTTGGTCTCGAGAGTTGTGAAAAGATTGAGAGAAAACCCAGGCTTCAATTTCACTGTTTTGCCTCCTCATGCGTTTTATCCGGTTGATTGGAGCAGAATTAGAAGCCTTTTTAGGAACGCTGGTGACGAGTTACACTCGAAATGGATGATTGGAAAGATGAAGCATGTTCGTACCAAGAGTTTCGCTGTACATCTTTGGAATAGACAGAGCAAGAGACTAAAAGTTGAGGAGGGAAGCATTATTGATCATCTACAGAAAGATTTTTGCATTTTCTGTAATTCTTCTAGTGTCTCTGGTTTGTGAGTATAGACCATAAGGGGGGGACATAAGAATAAGACTTGACAAGTGTATATTTGGCCTCATAATTATCTGTCCTGTGCAATGTTTTCAGTGTTGGTTATATGGTTCATGGACCACTTAGAGATAACTCCATGAATATAAGAGAAAGTAAGAGAAAATTGCATAAGTTTAAATTTTTACTCTTTATTTTTAATTAATACTTTTTTTGTTAGTATAGTTATTTAACTAAAAATGTTATTAATTAAGAATAATTGATAAAAATTCTGATTCATACACTTTTAAAAGGTATTTGTGTCATTTCTCCGTATAATAATTAGAAGGAAATAAGAATTCTTTTCTTTAAATTTATAATCTCGATCCTATGACAAACCCGTAACCATATCCATCAGTATCAAAGTTCTCTGGTTAAATGAAACCTAATCTAAAAAAAAAAAAAATCCGAGATACTAATTTGACCTTTTAGAAAACACACTAACAATTAATCATATTTTCTTATGATTAAAAGTAACAAGTTCTAGACGTGGTGATTCACTTTAGAGTTTGTTTTTGTTTTTGAGAAATTGGGATGAAGTAAAATGAATGTTGTGCCGTATGGTCTTCCCATGATGATTTTGTTCCAAGTAGAAAATGTACAAGTTGCTAAATCTATGAAAATAGAATTTGATTCGTTGAAAAGAAATAAAGGACAAATCTCGTTATAGAAAAAGGTTAAAATTAAAAGGCACATGGATTATGTTAATTGTGAAAGTGACGTGTCAACTTTAACCAATCGATTTCTGGACTTCCCCTACGCCACCATGTGCAGACGCTTTGAATCAGCTTCTTTATAATTGAATATCAGAAATTCCACCTATTGGCCATTAGTATTTGTAGAGTTGCAGATCAAGATCATCTATTGAGAGTGTTTTTTTTTTTTTTTTTGGTATCCTTTCTTGTACAACACAAAATTTTAACCAAGTTTGGTAACAATGCAGCAATTATGGGAGAAATAGAATGAACGTTTAGTTGATGAATTTAGAATTATTTTCGATTTACGTGTGTTTTTTGTGCGAAAAAATATTATAACGAACTACGAACTATGATTCGAATCATGTCATTAATCTAGCAACCAAACAATAATTTGTCATATGGTGAAAAGGTTGATTTTTCCATTTGGTGATTATTTCAGTTTGCACTCATCAGCTTCATGTGAAGCTAAATTTGTGGAAGTTTGAGCACATGTAACTTTTGATCATCTATATCTACACATCATCTTGGGGTAGTTGAGAAACAAAAATTGTCACTTTATAGTCCCTGACTCTGAGCATGAGATTTGCTGTATGTCATGCTTTCTCCAAAAAAATCATAATTTTTTTTAAAAAAAGCATGTTATGACAAGCAATTGTTGGTACGATTGATGCCTTTCACCTAATTTAGTGGCTCAATCATGCTTTTTATTCTTTGTTGATTTGCAAGTAGTGCAAAAATACGTGCTATTGAACTAGTTCATATTGGGTGCTTATGCAACCTTGGCACTTGGCCTCTATTCGTTTGTTTGACAAGCTTTGGGGTTGACTTTCATTTAGCAATTATAGTGGAAAAAACGTTCAAATTTCAAAGAAGTAAATTGTTATAAAGTTTTGTTTCTTCAGCTCATTTGATCCTGAGCTATTAAGTCACAACTTGATTTTTTTTTTTTTTAACTTGAAAAAATAGTCCCGATCGAACTCTTAAAAGAATTCCAAAACAACCAAAATTAGTAATAGACATTGATCGTGTTTGGAATTGATTCCGTTTTTATTTTTCACGTTTTTCGAGAAAAAAATGAAAACATTTTCAAAACGGTATTTGGGGCAATAAAGACAAAAAACGGAAATTAAAACGATTTTTTAGTTTAGTGTAAAATGAGAGAGAAATGAAAAATGACTTTTAGGGTGCGTTTAGAACTCGTTCCAAAATGATTTTGTTTTTTGTATGAAAATGGAAATGAAAATGTTTTCAATCTCAGACAGAAATCATTTTTAAAAATGTGTTTGGTAGTTTTATCAAAAGATTATTTTCAGTATAAAAAATCTATTAATGTCTCTCTCTCTCTGTTTAAGTGAGGAGAAAACAAAAATAAAAAATGAAAAATGACTAAAAGTCATTTTTCATTTCTCTCTCATTTTACACTAAATCAAAAAATCATTTTCATTTCTGTTTTTTGTCTTTAATTGTGTCAAACGCCGTTTCTCTTCCGTTTTTATTTTTTTCTCAAAAAACGTGAAAAATATAAACAAAAACAACTCCAAACATAGGGCGCGTTTGGAACTCGTTTTAAAATGATTTTATTTTTTGTATGAAAATGAAAACGTTTTCAATCTCAAACAGAAATCATTTTTAAAAATGCGTTTGGTAGTTTTATCAAAAGATTGTTTTCAGTATAAAAAAACTCATTAATAGTCTTTTTTATTTTTTATTTTCGTTTTCTCCTCTCTCGAGCAGAGAGAAAGAGACATTAATGATTTTTTTATACTGAAAATAATCTCTTGATAAAATTACTAAATGCATTTTTAAAAATGATTTCTATCTGAGATTGAAAACGTTTTCATTTTAATTTACATACAAAAAATAAAATTATTTTGAAACGAGTTCCAAATGCAATTTCGAATAGAAAAAGTTACTAATCGTCAGTTTTTGCTCAAAATTATGAAAAAAACTTCTAATAATTTTTTTTTTTTAAATGAAACACTCAATAAAGAAACCCTAAAAACTCTAACAACACATAATATATATATATATATGCGGAGAGAGAGAGTGTGCGGGGTTGCTGCCTGAAAAAAAAATTGCCGTTGCAGCAAGCCCTTCACAGCCATCACCCCATCGCGTGCCCGCCACCGTTGTCGTCCCCATGGGAGCCTGCCACTGCCATCACCAAGAGAGAGAACTTTTGATTGGAAATTCATTTTGTTGTTTTTCTCTAAATAGTGGAGTTTTTTGTAATACTAAAATATCCTTAGATACCCAGATCATGTGCAAATATGCACATGATTCCGTCGAAAAATAATGCTAGTGAGCAATTTGGTCCTTTTGCAATTACTTTTAGAGTTCAGAAAGCTTTTATTAAAATACTATATGAATTAAATGGGGAGCCCTCAAACTAAAAACCATTAAAGTTTAAAAGAGAAAAGTAACACTATGACCTCGTTGAATTTATTGATTTGAATTTTCAATTCGAGCTAAGATGTGACTTTATATGAGATCTTTTAACTGTAGTAAAAAAGTTAGATGTAACTTTTTGTGAGAATTTTTAACTGTATCAAAATTAAAATTAAAAACTCGAATCGATAAAATGAACGAGGCCTATATCACGACAATCAAGCAGTAGAAATGGAATCATGATAACAACTCCACGTAGAACTTAGAAGTGACACTCTATTATCGTTTGAATAATGTTATCCTTGTTCTTAGGTTAAGTAAATTTAATTTAATTTGAAGCTTCATCAATGGGAAATACAATAAAAATTCCTCAAAAAAAAAATTTTGGAAGGAAAAAATGGCCCTGTTTGTTACCGTTTTCAATCCCATTTTTTACGTTTTTCGAAGAAAAAATTGAAAACGCGTTTGGCGAAAGTTTTTTTAAAAAACAAAAACAAAACTGTTTTTGTCGTTTTGTGAAATTCTGAAAACGTAAAAAACCTGTTTTCATTTTCTCGTTTTCGTTTTCTGAAAACGGATTTCATATTTTCTTTTTCATTTTCTTCTCTCTCTTCTCCACTGCCCACCACCCCCGACTGCACCCCCCCTCCCCCACTCCGACATTGTGATCTAGTTTGTGAACGATATTCTTCTCCAGCGACGGCGTTCTTCTTGCTCGCGAACGGTTGTTAGAATGGCGATCTTGAACGACGACTGAACGAGAAGATCGCGAGGAGATCTCGACGTGGATCGCGGGGAGATCACGACAACAGCTCCAGATTGCGACCAACATCCCAACAACGGTATCGCTTGGCCAGAATCGTGAACATAAATCACGATCTCAACCAGAATTACGAAGAGATAAAGATAGAGAGAGACGTCGCCGGAGATTCCCTCACTTGGTGGCTATCGTCAGTCGTCGGAAGCCGCCGCCGCCATCACTAATCGTGGTTGCATCTGATTTACAGAGAGAGAAGAAGGGGCGGGGAGAGAGAGAGAGAGAGAGAGATAGAGAGAGAGAGTGTTGGGGAAATATTAAAGTAAATATTTAATATATTTAATATTATTATTTTAAATATTATTACATGTTTTTAAAAATTAAACCACCAAACACATTTTTAGAAATTATTTCAAAACTACCAAACGCATTTTTAAAAATGATTCTAAAATGAAAATAAAAACGTTTTTATTTTCATTTTCATACAAAAAAACAAAAACGTTTCGGAACAATTATAAACGCACACAATGTTTCAAATTCAATGAAGATGAACAATGGTGGCCAACTGGCCGTCCATAGTACCTTGAGCATTAATTGGTTCCAATCTTTGCAGCATGGGCAACAGCGTGTACATTGCTACATCTGGATTTTGTAATAAATTATTTTAGAGAGTAAATTTTAGTAATTAAGTACCAATTACAGCTTATATATGCTCCTCCTTAGGCCTAAAGACATATTTTGAACTTCATAGAGCTTGACATGAATAAATTTGTAATTTCTGAATGAAATTGGGAATTAGTTCTGGACCAATTATAGCCTTTTCGAACAACAAATCTAACAAATTTGCAGTAATGTTTAAGCAAACCTCTTTTCTGAGTTAAAAGGTTACCTAATCGTGGTACCCATGTTATTTTGTTTTGATATATTTCCCAGTCCTAGAGATCCGACTCATTGTTGCCGTTTTATTTATTTATTGCCGTCTTATATTTGGCCATCGTTTACCCTCCTCGGCTGTTTTCACGATGTTGTCGTGACGGTATGTTTAGCAGTGATTTTTGAAGCTCAAAATTAATTTTTTTAGCTATTTATAGTTAAAATTTGTGTTTGGTAAAAATTATAAAAACTGATTCTTAAAGAATTTT